CCGGTCCTCTCTTGCCATGCATCTAATTCTGCTGGCACGTGGTCGTATTCGGCGATATAACTTTTGTACTTCGCGATCCAGTGGCTTGCGAGGCCCTCGAATGATGCAGGAGGTAGGAGATGTTTATTGTTTTGGGCGCAGTAGGCGTAAGCGTCGGCACGAGATTGTTGGTATGCCAACTGCAGCCAGTATCGTTCGAGGTTGAGCTGGGAGATACACCTCGAGAGCAGATCTGGATGCAATTCACGCTGCTCACACATTATCGTGGCGTTGGGCTCTAGTTGTGCTTTTGTGTATGTATTCTCCAGTTTCCGGAACTCCCATAGGATCAGGTCTTCTTCTTGAACACATACATCGTTTGAACATAGCCGCTGGATGAGCTGTTTTGCGTCTTCGAAGTCGCTTTCTTGTCGGCCGACCTTGCGTCTTAAACTCCCTCCGAAGAGCATATTTCTCCACAGCGAGGGACCGTCGGTTAAATTTCTGGTTTCGAGATCCTTGGGTTCATCTTCATAATGTCGTAGTTTTCTTTTTCCATAATAAATATTGAATAGATCATCCGGATTGTCCTTGTGGTCCTTGATTTCCCGGAAAGCACCTTCTGCCCAGCCTCGTCCTGATGGCTTGTGCTGCGCCCGAATGAAGTCGGATCTGAACTGATCAACGTCGAATTGATCAGGCCAGCCGTTTTTCAGTAATAGAGCTGATGTGATGTTGCTGGGCAGAACGTTCTGTTGATGTCGGGAGTCCATCGTCTCCGACGTCTCCCACGGTGACCATGCTCTGCTCAGATATGCGTCTCTGATCCTCTTTAGGAACGTTGGTGCATCGGTCCACTCTCTCCAGTCACGGCTGTGCCTATTCACCGACAGTTGCCCTGTTGTGTTTTCGCCTCCAAAGATGGGCATGTCATTTAAATCATGTTCTCGCCCATAACTAACGTATGGTAAGTTTGGCGAGAACTCACTATAGTGACGATAATAGGGCCACCACTCCTCACCCTCGTAGACTCTTATCATATGCTTTCTAGTGTCGTATTGTAGCTTCCAAGTCCTGTAGTGATCCCGGTCCTCCCAGCCGCCTTCGGTCAAATGGACTATTCCTGGTCTCATGACATATGCGAAATCGTCCTCTACCCAACCCGCGTCACAAGCGACGTTCAAATCACGATCCTTCCGAAAGTCGATAAATGAACCGCCCCAAAGCCAAAAGTCGTGCCCAGATAGGCTAGTGTTGACGTATGGGAGGATCTCCATCAAGCGGAAGTCGGCTGCGTCGAGCTTGCACGGACTGGCTGTGGTGTTGATTTGATGAGGACCACGCTCGATGGAGTCATGCGGGATGAAGGATGTTTTGGCCAGGATGGTGTAGATCTCTTCCATCAACGTAGCGACCTCCTGGAGCTGGTTTTCATCGTAGGTATCAACGGTCTGGATATCGAGGTCATTATTATCGATTGACGTTGAGCTTGTGGCTGCGAAGGAGTTGTAGATGCTGCGTAAGCCCAGAAGCACGGTCAGTACGATGACAAACACCACTAATGGGTCTCGATATCGTTTTCGCGTGGTAGAGGTGCAGAGAGCTTCTGGATATGGGTTTTCGTGATCCTGTTTAACTGTTGGTAACGACATGGTGATCTGAGGGGTCGGAAATCCGTTTCAGCGATTTATGACCACGCATGATGAAATGGTGAGCGGATTCTGCCAACATTTTGTACGAGTTTTGAGGACAGCTGTAGAGAAGGTAGATGACAGGAGGCCTGACGCGGTTTGACACGCTTGCACGTGCGCGCGCCCACATTTTCGACGATGAGTGGGCAGGAACAGGGCAGCCCCGCCACAGGCAACAGTATTCCGAGCTCTATACGACACCTGTCACCCCATGTTAAACCTGGAAGAGAGGGCCTGGGTCTGAACAGCTGGCAAATCTGGTAGCAACATGTCTGATGGGGCCTCTGTAGGGAAATTGGATCAGTTACCGGCTGAAATGCTCGAGTTCACGCTCCTCAAGACGTCAGGCTCGCTTGCACCACGACTCGGCCGCCTGTCGTTCCCCGGACGCAAGAGCATTCTTACACCCGCCTTCATTGGCAACACGTCACGAGGCGTCATCCCTCATGTGTCGCAAGACAACTTCCGGAGCAGCGCCGATGTTGGTGGGGTATATGTCGCGCTCGAGGACTGTACGTACTTCTGCGGATAGCGCACGCCCTCTCTAACCGCTGGCAGTCATTGAGAAGCATCCACACAAGACTCCCCCGATCTTGAAGTATGACGTCCCGGAGCCTTTGCGCAGGTTCATCACCCTCCCCGACGACACGCTCTTGATCCTAGGGGCGCGTCGCAACCCGCCCATCCCGAGCCCTCACTCGAATTCCAACACGGAGATACGCATCTTAACGTCGGTCGGCTTCACGACTGTCAGCTCCGAATACTATGCTGCTGCTGCACGGAAGCTGCAGCCAGACATCGTGGTCGGGCTGGGGGACATACCATGCGGGCAAGAGGCCATCAGTTTGAAGCGGAAAGACAAGATGAGCGACAGGACCGAGGTATGGCTGCGCGACATTGTGGCCAAGCAGGGTACTATTGAGAAGGGAGAGAAGGCATGGAGCATATTCGCGCCCATACTGCCCATCGAACGCGACTTACAATCATGGTATCACGAGCACTTGTTGGATGACATGGTGGACAAGATCAGTGGCCTCGCCATATACGACGCATATCTGCTCGATGAGCTGCCCGATCAGCTTCACCACCTTCCACGGCTATCTTTCCACGTCCCTGCAAGCCCACATGAGCTTCTGCGCCATGTCAGCTTAGGCGTCGACGTCTTCACCGTGCCCTTCCTCGCAGACGCGACCGATGCAGGCATCGTCCTCGACTTCACCTTCCCACCGCCCGCCCGAGATACAAACACAAGCGCGCGCCACTCTCTGGGCATCGACATTTGGAGCAGCGACCATGCCCTGTCTGTCACCCCATTATCCCAAGGCTGCAAATGTTACGCCTGCACCAAGCATCACCGTGCCTTTCTTCAGCATTTGCTTGCTGCCAAGGAGATGCTTGGTTGGGTGCTTATCCAGCTGCACAACCACGCCATACTCTCTGCCTTCTTCGCCGGTATTCGCTCTTCCATCGAAGCCGGCACCTTCGACATCGACGCCGCTGCTTTTGAAGCCTACTATGAGCCTACCCTCCCCGAGAAGACCGGCCAAGGACCGCGCGTCAGAGGATACCAATTCAAGAGCGAATCGCATGACCCCAACAGGGTGAAGAAGAACCCTAGAGCTTTCAAGAAATACAGCGAGGATGACATCCTGAGGTTAAAGGCAGCTCACGGACAACAACCAAATGATAAACCTGCAATGCGGGACGTGATTGATGATGAGGCCCTATTAGGCTTGGTGGAGATGGAACAGTCCCCAGTCGACGCAGACCCGACTGTGCAATTGAATGGCTTGAGATTGGAAGACGATAAGAGAGCCTAGCTCATGCAGGTATTCCCTTAGATGGCCAAGTACATCGCCCTCCCGTTACAAACGACCTCCCACGTTCCGCTTGACATCCCGTCGATTGATTGCATATATGCTCACATTCGCAAGCTTCATACTCCTTTGCCCCGCACGCATCGCCAAGACACTGCCACCCTTGGTGTACCTGCGGCCATTGCATTTCGAATTGAATACAATCAGCTGGAACATGTTTCGTATGAGCGTCGTGTGCACTAATTTTGGATTCGGATCGAAGATGTCCACATGCATCCAAACAGTTATGTCGTCGTCGCTGGGAACTTCCTCGCCCCAATCTGTCGACATTTGATATATGCCCTTTTCCAGATCGAGTATGACGGTGCCAACGTTTAACCACATGTTATCCATTGAGAGGACTGCTTCGTGGCCCATGTTGCAGGTCACTTTGAATGAGATGTTGTCAGCGAAGGTTGTGATCCGGTCGTCGGCCGATGTTTGCTGGTCATGCGTGGCGTTGTCTGGTATCCTGGCATTGAGGGTTGCTTCTGCCTGCTTCGACACGTCTTGGTCGATGTTCTTTTTCGGCTCTCCTAATCTGGCACCGGGAACGGTGTTGAATAACGATGGTAATTGCAAGGTAACATTGACCTTCTCCGCACCGTCGTGTCCATCGGAAACTTCCGACAGATATGATACGTCGTTGAGGCTGGTCGGCATCGAGACTGAGTGACTAGCCCAAAAGAGAAGAAAAAGATGAAAGATCATCTTTTCGTAGAATAGTAGTGCTAGGTGATCGAGTGTAGAGATGTCACTGTCAGGTTTTATGTATAAACACACTGTGTGACAATCTCATAGCTATAGTGCTCCTACAGCACTCTAAATACTGACTGGATGTGCACTATACTCGTGTTATCAAGCGTAACTACCCTAGTGGTGTTCACGAGTTTGTGCGACACGTTGAAGGTGATGGTGCAACGGCTACAGTGACTTCAGCGCCAATTCGGGTAAGAATCGACCATCGCAGAAGTCACTTGCTGCAAACTGTCACAGTCGCTGCGAGTGCTCGATTATCTGCTTATTGCTGCGTGTCACTTCCTACATACTGACTGAAAAGGTCCTCCACTACTGCTTTACAATTAAGATCTGTCCAGGAGATTCAGCAACGAGAACGAATTCCTAAACCTCATATCACACAGTATCACTAGAGATGTACAAAGCATCCGAATAGAAACCCCTGAATCAGTGTTACTAAAAACGATGCAGTGCATATGTGCTGCACAAAGTCTTTCGCGTAAACGGCAACAATACACGTCGCGCGAGGTTCGAGGCATTTGTGGCACTTATCACAGTCGTGGCTTGAAGCTCTCATCATACTTACGAAAGACTTCGAGTTTAGCCGTATCACAAACCCATATATTGTAGTCAACTAAAAGTTCTAAACTGAACGTGGATGACAAGCTAACAATCCTTCGCGACGCTATCATGCGACAGCAATCCACCATTGATCTCCCTGCTCAACCTCGCTTTCACCAGTATCAAATTCCGAAATCTTCAGTCGCCAGTTGCATCACTTCGAGCGGGTATTTCATGCTCGATCACATTTAGTGGATGATATTCTCGCACTTCCAGCAATGGAAATGCGCACACGATGTGCATTGGGCAGGGTGGTCGTTTGCGACATTGTCGTTACCGCATTGATGGCAGTTCCAGCTGTAAGCTACAAAGTCGGCCAGGTATTGGATGAGAGAGCTGAGTGACATGTCGATCTTAATGCGATGTTGATTGTGTGAAAAAGGTCAGTGTTGATGTTTGTGCTTGAGGTTGAGGACAAACATTTTATAGTAGAGAGTGAACGAAGTGCTCATGAACAGTGTTGGTGGCGAATACAGTGTGATAGGGTCAAGCTCATGGGATGTGAATGCACCGTGCTAGTATCGTGGGTGAAAATGCCTCTGAAAAAGAAGCGGACAAAGAGTTGCTATTACTGTGTTGTGACTATCTCCGCACACTTCTCGGGGTATCTTCTCATACGTCCTCCGGCATTGGATTTTCTCAGCGCAGTATTCTCATTAGCGGTGCCATCTCTTTCAGGCTAGGGACTCGTTGGATTTCCCTGCTTCTTTTCTTTTCCTCAAACCAGGCAGCTGAATCCGTCGAATTTTACCGAATCCATGCGTTGGACGATCGCGCTCAGAAGAATTACCCTGCTGTTCTTGGTGCACACTCGTTTGCGCTCCGTTGCGCTTCTCCCAGAACGTACGAGAAGTATAAAGGCTCAAGTATTCGTTGAGTCGTTGCACATTGATCAGTACAGTGAATGTCAGAAACAATGTAATGACAGCTGTAACCACCATTCCTTTTATGCTTTCGCTACGAGGGGATGAATCGGCCATGCTCCAGATTCCTGTGGCAAATCCAAGTGGCAGAAACACAGCAGTGAGGAACGTGAAATATCGAATGTTCTCTGCGTTCTGAAAGCTCAACTCGTCTCTTGTAGAATCGAGCCCGCTTGAGAGGGAGACTCTCAACGACTGGATGGTGGCTAGGTGATATCGCAAGTCCCGAATCGCATGCAAGTTCTCATTTGTGAGCTTCGTGATAGCAGCCCGGTATCTTCCTTCGTCGTTTTTTGTCCATCGCGGCTCTTCGGGTCTTCGATCTGCTTTACGGGTGTTCCATATGTCAATCTTCTCCAAGACTTCCTTGAGATCTTCCTCAATAACTTGAAGAGAATATTGTAAGGCCGGCCATGTCTTACGGAACACCAGATAAGCACCATTGTTCATCTGTCTAGAGAATAGCTCGTTCGAGATGGATACTATGTTCCCTTTGACTTTCTCTTCTTTGGTATTCTTGTCATCTGTTTTCGCCGTGTGAACAAACAACCGCTCTAGCTGTTGGCCTATCTCCCCTATGATTTCATCATATCGCTGCGTTAGCTCCCGAAGCATTCGATCGAGCAGAAGGAGTTCCAGCACCTTCCGCTGCTTCCATGGCTCCTTGTGTCGCTCAAAGTCCAGCTTCAACTCCCTCAGATTGAGTATCTTGTCAAGCTTTTCTTTGGTTTCTTTCTCGTCCTCGGAAGTTAAGCCCGTCCATTTGAACGAGGGCGAAACAAAATCCGGCTCGGTCTCCAGAGCGTGACAGGTCCAGTAGCGATCGAAGAAGTCTCCGACAAACCGAAACCCCGCACCTGCTCTTTCTATCAGTAAGTTGTTGTTTCCTAAAAACATCATACCGGCTCTTTTGCCATTCCTTGTCTGACGGGTAAGTCGGTAGGATGAAAGGTGCAGCTCGGTCGTCCACAAGTTCGCAGTTGCAGTCACTTCATCCGAGAAGTATTTGGCCTTGTTGTTGTGCCTTTCAAAGAAAAGGTTCAACGAATCTGACTCATCATCGGCAGACGTGATGGTGCAAAATCTCTTAGTATCTGTGTCGGGATTCGTGATCCATATGAGCCGTTTCTTGCTGTTATGTACTGAACGCTCTTCTCTCAGCCTGTTATACATGGTTTCGTTATCCAGCAGCTCAATATCGCGCAAGGGATCTTCGTATTCCTTTCTACGGTCAGTCTTTGGGATGTCGATGATGACGCCATGTGGTATGACAGTCGTGTCTTTGTTCTTAACACTATCCTCGGCAGACAATTCAGGATGGAAAAAGCTTGGAAACCTATAGAGCCACTCATCCGGCAATTCAACTATACTCTGTTGAACAATGACGTTATTGAAAGGTATCCTTTTCTTCATCGTCATCTGAATCGGGTACAAATCCGAGGCTAGTGAACTCGCAGGCAACTCTTTCTGACCTTGGGTGAGAGCGTCATTGAATTCCTTTTGGACTTTAGAAAGGATAATTCTCACGTCCCTCTGAGCGTGTGCAGAAACATGGCTCAAATCTTTCTGGACTTGGACAGGAACGTTGATCGACTCCTTCTGAGCTTGGGCAGAATCCTTGCTCGAAATGGATTGAAATATGTCGGAGTCTCGGCATTTCCAAAGCACATAAGGAACTTCGAAAGTTCGATGCCAATAATGGTCTCTCCACCTTTCCTCGTAGTGCATCTCAGGCTCCTTGGTCAAAGGATCCAGTGCACCTGGAAAGAGCCCGTTCGCAGATGAGCTCTGAAGCAATATGTCTTTTGCAGCTATGCGATCAATTGTCGAGCGCATGATATCGAGCGTGTATCGCAACGGATTACCCCAGCCAAAATCCTCAGACTCCTCATGAAATCTCTGTACGTTCATGGTAGCTTTCCAGAGAGCATCGTACTTGGAGAAGAATGTTGAGTTCTCCTTATAGAGTAATGCGGTATCTCGAGAGTGTAAATAAAACCTGTTCTCGACGGGTGATCGTGCTACAGCAAGCATCCTTTGCTTGGAGACAGGGTTCTCAGTAGTGAACCGTCTCAAGACGTGCTTTTGAAACACCTCCGGAGAGTATTCTGCATTCAACTTGCTCTCCACATTCTCGGAGCTCTCTTCTTTCTCAGAGCTCTCTTCGTATGCTCTACGCCGGCGTCGAGTTGATCGAAGCTTGAGATTTCCGAGCTCGTTGCCCCGGACCATGTCCCTGACTGCGCTAAGGGCTCTCCACATCCAAACGTGATCGTCCAACCGGAATTCATTTAGTGTTGTAGGGTCTGTCTTGGGGCGAGGGAATGCATAAAACCGTCGAGCGTTGGCAGTTTCGAGTACCTGAATCCAGTTGGTCGCAAGAGCCTTAAGCTCTGTCAAAAAGACACCGTCCTTGTCCAACTTGAATAGCCTCCCGTAATCAGCAAGCTTAATCAATTGAAATGGTGTATCGGTCAAAGATTCTGCGCCTGTGTCGGAGTTCGAATCACCTTTGATGATTAGTTTACCAGTCACCCAATAATTGGCTCTAAAGCACCCATCGACTTTTTCAGCCTGTTTCAGCCAGGCTACATGCCCTCTGCATACTTTCTCAATGCGCTTTTGTAGGTTTTCGACGCAAATACCCTCAAGGGCAGATTTCTGGTCCTCGCTGGACATTATTGGTGGGCTTTGGGCCAGCGCAGTTTGTTGGATCGAACTTAGATGTCTGTACATCGATAAAAGAAACTGGAAAGTGAGACTGTATCGTCAGTTATGTTGTAATGAAGCAGCTCAGGGTGACCTACAAGCTTGCTGAATTGACAATCCGATGTCCCGATATATCTCCACAAGTGAGAGCTATTCCGTCCTCGTAAGATTGAAGTGTCGGAATACTGCAAACCGAAAGTATATGTTCCAAGTTCCGTCTCATGATGAAGTCCAGATGAACATTCCGCGAAAATTCCAATCTGGTGAACGAAGTTTCTCTGAGCATCATGTGCATGGCGCAGAGACTGTCTTGAGTAATGGGGAAACTGTTACCGTCCCAATCGTTTTCACGAACCAGGATTTTGTAACCCACAGTGATTTGGAGGGGATGACCTTGTACCACAAAGAACTCTGGAGAGTTTACAAATATGACGGGATCATCATCGATGTCACTGAGCTCAAGCTTTTGGGCTACACCATTGATGAAGATAGAGACAGCCAGGAAGACGGAATCGAATTTCTCCCATTCCTCGCACTCCTTGTCGTTTCGGAACAAGTCCTCATGTTCAAGTATGAATCCGTAACCATCTTCACTAATTCGATGCGAATAGTTTTCGTGGAGTTCGTCTTCGTTGAATCCGTATGAACGATCCATGAAATCCAAGTCTCGGATCAGCAGTTTCGCTGCGACGGAGATGTCTGATCCGCGGGAATAGTGGATAGGGTCTGACTTCGCCGACCACTGATATTGCTGGAAGATAATCCCTTGGTGTGCGACATGTAAAACCTTGGCTATCCCGCCGTCGTATTCCAGCGTGAAAAGCGGCCATCGATCGTGGATGAATTCATACTTTACTTGTTGAGGAGACTCGTGGAAACTTGGATGGGGACTAAAAGTATATGCACAAATACCTGCTCCATCAATTTCTCGGGCGCTCATAAGTTGTTCTGCCCGAATTCGAACATAGTACGGCTCATCTATGTAAGGGAGATCTACAGAGAAAAGGCCTGAACGGCTAGAACTATGAGTTTGGGAGATCTGTATGAGATCCCCGAAACGGTCGAGACTTGCAGTCGTACCATTATCGCCAAAGGATACATACGGATGTGTCTCAAGGTAGTACTCTTTTTCGTGTGGCTCTTGTTTGGGCATTGACGTGCAAATATCCGGGGTTAAGTTGTCTGGCCTCGATTTTTAGAGACTTTTTCTCGAGTAGAAGTGTTCAAGCAAATTTACCAAGAAGGGGATTGCGGGTGTCAACTCTACTGGAGTAAAAGAGGTTTTGGGATTCGACATGAATTGTGTTCTCAGGGTCATGTTTGCTCTTCGAAGAGGCATGTGATACCGAGCTCGAACGAGGCTGGCTTTGGAAGCTAGAATCTCTGTCCATGTCTTAAATTGCCATTGGAACGAAGAAGAGCAATGTCGGAAACACAATAAGATTGGAGAGCAACAATGTCATAGAGCAACGAGGCTGAGGTGCGGCAAGGCTTGATCGTGGGCGACAAGATCAGAGGATCGATTTCCATCTTTAAGTCGATTGCATCGCGTCCAGGGTTGCTATTAAATAGACCGAAGGCCCAGCAATCTAACCGGATCTGAGCGCCTGCCTTGCTCTAGCTTCGCACGTCTTATTTGGCGTTCACTGATCTGGACAAGGTGGCGTTGCAGCTCCGGCTTTCTTTTTCGCTGACGAATCCTCGAATCATGGAGGATTGCATTACATGCAAGTGAGATTGACGCTGCACTCTTAGTCCCTACACGCCCCACCTAAAATTGAGTTGACGCACGAAGCAGTGCGAGAGGCGCATTGTTTGCTGCGAATGGCTTAGCTACTTCCGCTTCCATAGCTGCCGTTGTGGGTACGCGGCTCGTATCGCAGATAGTGTATGCATACGAACCGAGGCTTGTAAGACTGAGTTGATTATTGGCAGATCGATACCGAGTTGCTCGACAATGCGTAACGAATGCGCAACAGGTGTTGCGTACGCGTTCGGCTGCGTACAAGCATGCAACAGCCGTTCAACAGATCAACATAGTCATACTACATCCTGAAGGTATACGTTGTGTTCCATGTCGATGCAGTAGAAAATGCAACTTGGTGTACACCTGTAGGGCAAAGTTTGTGCGGTCGGTACAACTGATGAGAGACGAGCTCCTTCGTAAGTTTTTGTAGTAAGGCAAGCAGAGTTCAGGCGTCCATATACAAGCAGGGGCCGTTGCATTGCTGATAGGCAAGCGCTTACTGCAGGAGATATTAACCGTATGGTTATGAAGTGATATAACACCAAACACGTCGCCGTTCCAATTGCTTCCTCGACTTGCGCGTTCTCTTGTTGGGCCTCAATTTCTTTTGCAGTTTGTCTTGTACACCATGACTGATCTCATCTCCGTCGAGGAACCCACGAAATGGGGCAAAGCCACCGAGTCGTCAGCAACTCGCTACAGTCGCACCAATGCACCGCAGCATGGCTTGGGCAATAGCCTCAGCACCATGATGAAGATAGCAGAAGGCCAACACGTCCTTGTAACCGCCTGCGGCCCTGGGAACGACGCTCTCGCCATCGCGCAGATCGTTGGCCAGTCCGGGAGAGTCGTAGGCTTCGACCTGGACAAACACAGCATTGACCGAGCCCGGGAGGCTCTAGAGAAACACCCAGACCTCAAGCCATATGTGCAGTTCCATGTCACCGACGCGCACGATCTCTCCATGTTCGCAGGACAGACGTTCGATGCCATACATTGCAACGCGTCATATCACTGGTTCACCAACAAACCTCTTTTCCTTGCGCAAGTTGCGACTCTCGCAAAGCCTGGCGCTGTTATTGGTATCGCGACCCAAGACCGCAACTTCCAGCCGCCCATGCTGGATATTCGAACCGAAGTATTGGCGGAACTCGGTGAGAATGCAACCGACTTCATATTCCATCCAACTCCAACGGAAATGCGACGTGACCTAGGCGCCGCTGGATTCGGCGATGCGAAACTATTAGGATACTATGGCACGTATGTGCTCGAGAGCGCGGAGGCCATGTGGAACTGGGTGAACGACAGCTCGGGCAATCGATTCGGTAATTACTTGGAGGAGGGGAAGAGGGAGCGGATGAAGCAGATGATGCTGGACAGGTTTGGCGGGTTGGCTTTGAAGGACGGAAAGGTGGTGATGCAATTCAAGCACATTGTTGCAATGGGATACTATGGTCGTTGATGTGTCAGTATTTGGCTCAGAAAGATATTCAAAGCTCACTCAGATTCGAAGCTAAGAAATGTGTTCATGTGCGCCTCATGAGTTTGGCATCTTTGCATTTGGTGACATCAGCGTCGGGCTCTAACAACGTAACAGCCTCCGTGAGAGCTGAGGTTGGCGGACGTTCATGGTATCGCGGTCTATGCTCGTATGTTTGTAAGATGGCAGTTGATACATAACAATGCGTTATGATCATGTTCCAATAGCATGATAAAACGCACACGATCCGGACATGGGTTGGTGGATCTGTGATGGTTGGGGAGTAAAAGCCATGACGGAGGAGAGCTCGCTTTGGAATCGAAGCTACAATGCCCGTGCGTTCGATGAACATCATCATTCGATGAACACCCCCACTTCAACAACAACACAACTTCAACGCGTCATAACTCAACCACTATGGATCCGATTCAAGAAGCGATTGCAGAAATCGAATCGCGCGAACCAGGAGATAAATTCTCGTACCAACAAATCGCGAAAAAGTATGGCGTCAACCGCGTTACGCTCGCTCGAAGGCACAAGGGGGAAACTGAAGCCTATGGCATCCGCAAGCGATTCCTCCACCCACAACACGAAACTGAGCTTGTACGATACATTGATACGCTTAATGAGCGACGTACACCACCTACAAGAGCAATGATACAACGCTACGCTTCATCTTTGGCTGGTTTTGAGGTTACAGAACAGTGGGTTTCCCGGTTTATCAACCGCCACCCGGATCATCTGATCTCTCGCTACACCAAAGGGATGACCCGCCTAAGGCACAGCGCTGATTCAGGCAGTAAGTACAGCTTGTACTTCAAGCTTTTGCATGAAAAGATGGAGGAGTACAACGTACAACCCCTCCATATATTCAATATGGACGAAAAGGGATTTCAACTTGGAAGGATTGGCAGATCAAAGCGTATCTTCTCCAAAGCTCTCTACGAGCAAAAGGGGTTACGGCAAGCTCTTGAAGATGGCTCAAGCGAGTGGATAACCGTTATGGCTTGTATTTGTTCGGATGGCAAAGTATTGAGTCCTTCTCTCATCTTCCAGGGGTCCAACGGAGCTGTTCAATCAAGCTGGGTTGATGCTATACAAGAAGGAGAGCACTCAGTCTTTGTAACCTCATCTCCCTCCGGCTGGAGCAACAACGATATAGGACTAGCTTGGCTCAAACAGGTGTTTGAACGAGAGACCAGACGATACGCTTCAACCGGGTATCGATTATTACTCCTTGACGGCCACGGATCCCATGTAACTACGGAGTTTATTGAGTATTGCCACGAGCACAAGATCCTGTTGGCTGTACTGCCTCCTCACGCTACTCATACGCTTCAACCGCTTGACGTTTGTATGTTCAAACCCCTATCGGACGCTTACTCAACTGAGTTAAATGGATATCTTCAAGACAGCCAAGGGATACTCAATATAGCCAAAGGAGACTTTTCCCCGCTCTTCTGGAGGTCCTGGGGCAAAGTATTCAAGCCTCCACTCATCCAGAAGTCATTTGAAGTCACTGGTATATACCCACCCAACCCAGACGTTGTACTCAAGAAGTTTGCCAAGGAAGCTTCAGATTCTGACAGCGGCAACTCAGTACTATCGGGGAGCGATTGGCTCAAACTGAAGTCAACTGTACGCCGTGAGGTGAAGGATCAGAACAGTAAGGACGTCAAGAAGCTTCAACGAAGTTTGCACCACATTGCAGCTCAAAATACACTCCTCCACGACGAGATCAAGGGCCTCAAGCGTTCCCTCTTGATCAAGGAGAGACGGAAAAAGCAGAGCTTCACCCTCGAGCTTGATGAGGATCATGAGTATCATGGGGGAGCCGTTTTGTGGTCACCAAGGAGTGTACAACGAGCTCGCGATCGTCGGGCATCACAACAACAACAAGCCGAGCTTGAAAAGCTTCAAAAAGCCAAGCAAGCCGAGATCAAGAAGGCAGCACGCGATTGTGAGGCTCAACTCAAAGCTGTGAAGCGTGTAGAGCGGGAGAGACGGGCGGAGGAGAAGAGGAAGGAGGAGGCTGAAAAGCTGGCCAAGAAACAACACCGTGAGCTTATCAACAACACTAAGAAGCTTATAAAACTGTCCCAAAAGGGTAAGCGCAAGGCTTCACAACCTCATCCGACAGCTACAAAGCGTCAAAAGCGTGGTGGTGTTGCTCCAGCTGTGGTGGGAGACACACGGGTTGCACGAGCTGCCACCCCACGTAGTCGACGGCAACGACCGATAACGCCCTCCAAAAGGTTATCTGAATAAGCCAAAATCTCCGCAGGCCTGTATTTAGTATAATCCTAGATTTGCGCAATTTTATCACGATTTGTTGTGGCTCTACAACCTCATCTTTTTGACTATATTGAGTTGTTGGGGGTGTTCATCGAATGATGATGTTCATCGAACGCACGGGCATTGTAGCCTGTGCGCCGCGGCCCCGCCACCTTTCCTCTTCGCCAACCCGCCACCGCATTTCTACACGACCTCCACCTATCGATAGCGTACCTCTTGTCTTGTAACTAGCATCAGCTGCACTTCTTCTTCCTTAATGGCGATTTCGCAGTTGCTTCCATGAAAAGCTGCAGATAGTCGCCCGGATGAAGGACACTTTCGAAATTTTGGAGCAAATGACAAGCATAGTCATGGCTGACGCGAAGCTGGATATCAAGTCCCCAAGATACGTTTACTGATTTGGAGAGAATATGGACCCATATTGAATGATCGGGATATATCCATCTCTCGCGGAACATGGTGTTAATGACCCAATCGTCTCAGTTTACCCTACAAATGCCAGCATACCATTCTCCATTACATCTGACAAGCGTACTTGGAATGTAGCACATCGGAAAATGTCCATTCTTAGGAGACGAGGTTTTCAATTCTCCAGCATACACTCTAGAAGGTCATGTAGTAATTAGCCTCCACGTTTCCATGAAACACTCCGTCGGTCTCTGCGTCTTCGATTCTCCTGGACATTGTGCTGTCGAATGGTGTGATGCCACCAGCATATGCATGTCAAACCCGGATCTGTCCAGCTATTCTTTCCATGACAGATACTTTGTTCTTCGCTCTTGTTGTAGCTGTTTTAAACTCTGCCTCCAGAGCATCGAGATCTCAATCGATCTTTCTCAGCACATGCTCGATGTGGAGATAAGGCGATTTTTCATACTCTCTTCGAAGCTTTCTTCTAGTGGTACCATGGTCTTCTACCTCGTCTATCATTAGGAACACAAGGCAGACGCCTTACGCACGTTAAGGAGCTGACTTCACTCTAGTAGGCTTCACCTGCATTTATCTTGCAAGGCCAGAGGCGGCGACAAAGATAGCGATGCAGCTAGCAGGTGCAGGTGGTCTTGAAGGGGTTTGATATGTGCAATGCGAAGTAATGCTAAGCAGCCTGCAGGAGGAGTTCATGAGCGATAGGCTCGGAAAGATACGTCTTGCGCGAACTCTCAGTACTTATTGATTCCAGATACGACGGATGACTTCACTCGTCGCGTTCTTACGTCTACACGACAGTCGCATTCTTCAATGGCCAGTTGATACCCTTGTCCGCTGCCCCCGTATTTCCCAATCCTGCACAGTTGTACAATCCGACAGGGTTGTTCTGCGTAGCCCTTAGATATTGTAAATCAACACACTGCTGGGTACCGCTGCTAGCAGCGAGAGCAATACGTCCATCGGCCATGGCGTTCCAGGTCTGCTGTTCGCTTCCGGCTACGCATTCGCGGAGGTAGATGTTGGCCATGTCTTTCCAGCCGGACTTAGGCCCAGCATCCATGCAGAGAGTGGTGGATGCGAGTTGTATGGACGTAGCGTTGTTGGGCGCCTTGATATACCATGATTGCTCTGGAGTAGATGTAGTGCTTTGCCTGGAGCTAGTGTTAGAAGAGTTGCACAGGTAATAGGGAGTGAAGATGGTCTTTGGCCTTACACTACCAGGGTTGCTCCTGCAGTTCGCGATTTGGGTACGACGACGAATTTGGTGTCCTGCGCGGATGTTATGTAGACCGCACGGTAACCCTCTGGTGCTTGTGAGAGGCCAGTGGCGGCCAACGCGAGGACGAAGAGAGTGATAGTGAGCATCCTTGAAGCTGTTGCCAGTTCCAGCGATTTGTTCTGGGCTGGCTGGAAACCAGAGGGAAAAGAAGGCTATATATGGTCATTGTCTTCAATAATACTTCGAGATTGGTGTCTAATATGATACTGTTACCCGGTCATAGTATCTGTTAGACTTCGAAACTAACACGCATAGTAGATGTGGGGGTATGAGTGGTGCTTGTTCTATGTGGGGTCGGTCTACTAGGGTATGTAGTCGAGAATCTATGGATAGTAATCTAGCGTTTACCCGTCGCACGCCCTGCATTGTCGGTAGTTGAAACGATCATCAGGTCTTGGCAACCAAAATCATCCCTCGATTGCATGTATCATATGTCTCGACCGATCTTTGGGTATCTTTGATGAAGCATTCTAGGCAGGACCAGTCCTACCACGTTTTTCCTCTTGCCTTTTCTTGCCCTCTTCTTTCAGTTGAGCATCATCCTTCCTTGACAGCTCCACTTGAGGCATCAAGAACCAAGCAGCGATGAATGCAAGTGCATTCAACACTGCTCCAACGATGAAAATCACCCGAAAACCTTGCTGATAGGCCGAAGCAAGTGCAGCGCGGATCAAGTCCGTACGCTCTTGGCCAACTGAATCGCGAAACATGTCTGGCGTATCAAGTAGCATTTGAATCTCTGGTATTGAAAGCCCGTATGGAACCAATGAGAAGCGAACTGCGTTGTTGATTATCGTGCCGGAGATCGCAAGACCAAGAGTGCCGCCAAGGTTGCGTATGAAGTTGCGCGTCGAAGTGACAACAGCCATGTGTTTGCGCTCCACGCCTGCCTGCACAGCGATTAGCGAAGGTTGCAGCGTGTTTCCCAATCCAAGACCAGCGAGTAGACCGTAGCCTATTTGTTTCCCAAGAGAGGGGCTGTCAAGTGTCGATATCAGGCCCAAGCCAATCGCCCATATCGCCCAACCCACAAGCAGACATTCCCTATACCGGCCAGTCCAGTGTACAACGAGGCCTGAAAGTGTGCTGAAAAGAGCTATAGAAAGTTCAGATACATGACGTGTTCACCAGTGGTAGTCGTCTTACTTTGTGTGAGTGTGATGGGAAGTAGTAGTGCGCCGGACTTCACAGCTGTATAGCCATACACCAGCTGATAGAAGGAAGGGATGTAGTAAACCTGAACGAGAAAGTTCCAGCCGTTCACGAACATCGTTATTCCGGCACCATTGACGACTCTGGATGTGAATATTGTCACTGCTTGGGGTCAGTACGAAGTCCTCCGTGTCGTTTGCAGCAAACCTACTCGGTATCAATGGCACCTTGGTACATTTCCACTGCCATATGATGAAGAATACTGAGACTGCAACTCCGACTACCAAAGTAGCAACGACGTAAGCAGAATTCCAGGCGTACTGTCCACCTGCCCATGTCAAGGCGAGCTACAACAGTAAGTTTTGACTGCATGGATGACCGGTGGTATCGAGCAACATACCACGAGCAAGGCGGATCCAGCGAGAGCTAGGAATGCACCAAAGAAGTCGATAGCTGCTACTTTTCTGGTCTGGTTAGCGACCTTCAGCTGTGTGTGATAATACTACTTACTTCTTCCATTCACCATCCACCTTCCTGAGTGGCATGAAAAACACGACAGACCCAGTGGTCAGAACGCATAGAAACAGATTCAGTCGGAAGATCCATCTCCTTCAAATGGCTTAGTATAGTACTGATCTAATATCAACACGAAATCCGTACCAAGAATCATGGCTTTGGGAAGCGAGTGCGCCACCTATGACTGGCCCAATGCCATTCGCCAAAGCTACGACCGAGCCCTAGAGGTTGTTAGTTTGACACAGCAGAGCACATTACAACATCACTTACGAGTATACCCTGATACTTTCCTCTTTCGCGAAGAGGTACAATGTCCGATACTATCATCTGGGCCACCGTCATCAAACCTCCACCACCCACGCCCATGAATGCACGAAATACGATCAGCTGAAGGGCGGACTGTGCCAAGGAAGCAGCTAGCGAGCCGAAAAAGAAGATGCCAATGCCAATGATCAAGAGCACCTTGCGGGACCATATGTCGGAGAGACGCCCGTATAGAAGCTGGAATGACGTCGACGTTAAGAAGTATGCGCCCGCAATCCAAGCACTTTCGTTACTGGCATTGAGATCCCTGCTGACGATGGTCAAACTGGCTGCAAGCGTCGTTTGGTCCATCAAAGCTAGCAGATCAACGCTTGCGCAAGCCAGGAATATCTACTGACGTATAAGTACGGACGAAAACTGTAACCGCCAATGTTCTTACTGTGATGATGGTCTTAACCGGCACGTAGTCTGTTTTCGGTAAATAGTTAGTGGAGATTGAAGTTTTGATTTGTATTTCCCTTACTTGTTTGTTCATTGAACTCTAGAGGCTGTCCAAGTGCTTGAGTTGGGGTTATTTCAGGGTAGGGTTCCTTCGGCATGCCCACAACAGCTTCAGGCTCATCCTTGGTCGTCATGGTATAAATTCGATTATGTGACTCGATCGTGTTTGTGCACGAATCCGTGTTTTCGAGCGACTTATGGTATTGTGGGATATCCAGCTGGTAACATAGCAAGATCAGTATGGGCTGAGCCTGATAGATATGAGCCCGACTTGGTGTGGTGGGTACAACATTGGCGCAGATGTCGACAAGGCTTGCGGCTACAGTTCGACATATAGTACTCAAGCCGGATCTCCAATGCCGATCGGTCGTAGCCCAAGTCTGTGACTATGGTGATCAAGTACACCTATGCATCGACCAATCATGCAAGGTGCGCGCTGCAGACCAGATGCGTAACGCAGCAAGATCATTGAGTGGTGCCTGCTAGCGGCCCATGAGATGTTCGGGTACGGTACCTGGAAGTTATGAGTAACTTGTGACAAGCAATCCGATGCGAAAGCCAAGATCGTATGCTTCGGCCTCGCACCATATCCCGTCTTGGACCAGGCTGCGATGTGAAAACCTTGCTGAGTGCATTGAGGACCTGCTATGCGCAAAGACTTCACTCAGAGTATTTACCGGTGAATGTTTCCACCCCATGCACAGTAAACCTGCTCTTGAGCCTTGTCGTTGTATCAGCCATGCAGAGGTCGTGACCTCTAGAGCTCCTGAACGCTACTTTTAGTTCGTCGGCGCTAACATGTACATAAACACGCTAGCGCGTTCGCATTCCATCCCGAACGGCCGCCATCAATGTGCTCAATATCTCTCGCGTCCATCCAGAATCACCGCGATGCCATCAAACAACCCTATCACAAAGTTGACCGGTCGCGCAATCGCCTGTAGATCACATTTGCGCTTCTTGGCTGATCCGCAACGTCCCTCGACCGCAGCGGGAATTCTGCCGTACAAATCCCTCTCCGACGTGGATCTGCATACTAGTGATGCAACAAACAACACCCACAAAGTGCCACCGATGAGCACCTTCATTGTTACATCCCGCATGAAACCCATGCCGTAGAATTCCAGTCCCGTAGATCCGCTGTGTCCACAGTAGCATCAATTCGTTCCAAGCTCCGATGTATTACCAGTAGAGCCTTCAATAGTTAAAGGGGAGGCCGTGCCAGTGTCTGGATCCCTTCATCTCTTATCATACAGCTTAGGAAATCTCCAGTATGGCTTCACGAAATTATTTGAATGCCTACTCTGGGCCAGATGCTCTTCGAAACTATTTCGACCCCGACCACCAGCCGATGCTTCCTCTTGTCGAGATTCCACCAAGTCTAAATCCGTACTACCAGGATGGGGTCAGAATACATGCAAAGATGATGTCTATGCATCCGTCGAACAATGTCAAGATCATGCCTGGTATGTGAAAGAAGATTCACCGCCATTGCACATCACTCATGCGTACCCAGCGTTGAACATGTTGACCAAAGAGGTTCATCCGGAGAAGTCGAAAACAGTAGTCGAGTATAGCTCGGGATCTACCGTTATATCCTTAGCACTGGTCTCTCGTATAAACCACGGGATACAAGATGTTCGCGCGTTTCTAAGCAACAAGACTTCGGCTCCAAAGCTCCGGCTGATGCAATTCTTCGGTTTGGATATGTACGTCAGCCTTCTTCTGACCATGAACAATTTCTAAGTTACCAGCAGTACGCTCTTTGGCGGCCCGTCTCAGCCGGAACCACATGACGAACGTGGCGGCATTCATCAAGCGAGGATGATGGCCGAGCAAGACGAAGCGATTCTGAACGTTAACCAATACGAAAATGATGCGGTGAGCTACCTGATATACCTTTCTCAATGCAGCTCTTACTTACTTTCGAAGAATTGGCAATCGCATGTTAAATGGACTGGACCGCAGATTCACCAACAATTACCTAACATCAGCCTCATTTGTGCTGGCATGGGTACCTCTGGCACCATGACGGGTCTTGGCCAGTACTTCAAATCAGCCAAGCCTTCTGTAGTTCGATTAGGGTAAGTTCTAGTATACTGCCACTCGCAATATTGTGCCCTAACCATGTGCCTAGTGTGTGCACTGCTGCTGGTGACCGGGTACCAGGGCCCAGATCGCTTGCTCTTTTAAGCCCTGTGGAATTCCCATGGCGCGGCTCTGTTGATGCTATAGAAGAGGTCGGGTCCAAGGATGCTTTCGGTCTATCTCTACAACTCTGTCGGGCAGGACTGATTTGCGGCCCCTCTTCGGGCTTCAACTTGCAGGGTAGGTGCAAGAAGCGTTCAACATACAGTAGCTGACGGCACCAGGGCTCTTTAATTACCTCGAGAAGCGGAAGAGCTCAGGAACTCTATCCGAGCTTAGTGGAGCCAACGGATTGATTGACTGCGCCTTCGTCGCTTGCGACGGACCGTACCAGTATATGGATGAGTACTTCGACAAGCTGGGTAGTACCGCTTTTCGACCCATACATAATGAGGTAAGATCCAATCGTTTCTTTCTTGTGACTCGCTGAGTGGCGCTCTAGAAGGCGATTTGTTTGACCGAAGCATGTCTAACATTTCCCTAGAACCTAACCGCAGTTGACCTATACCGCTACGACGAAGCATGGGAACTTACTCCTACACGAGCGCTGTCACAGTTTGCCGATACCGTTGAAGAACGCACTGACGCTGTCTTGCTTGATCTGAGAAAGCCGGAAGACTTTGTTACGAGTCACATTCCAGGATCATACAACCTGCCGCTACAAAGTCTCAACGCGTCTACGCCGAGCCCTTTCTTAGACGCTGCGGTCCTCGAGAAGCAATGGAGAGAGTTAGAGGCTACATTCACACCCGATCGCATCAACGCGCACGATCTTGTTGGGAAGAACGTATACATCGTTTGCTATGGCGGCGATACTGCCCGCGTTGCCACGAGCGTGCTTCGGGCAAAAGCCATTTCAGCGAGCAGCGTGAAGGGTGGCATCACTGCATTACGGCAAGAGCTACCGAACTTGCAGATGAATGAGCGCGGAAGAGGCCTGATACAGCAAGATTGGCTTAAAATGCCGGAGGTCGCTACTAAAGAGTTGAGGGCTGATTCATTGTCTCCGCAAGTTCGTAGCCTGGATGGCATCGTAGTGTAGGCCAGCAGGTGGTACATCAATCATTTTGAAAATTTAAGAGACCGTCATACCTGATATCAGGTGATCTGGCTCTTCCAGTTACATGTTCATTCACAATTCATCTTTGCCCGGCTGTTGATGACACTGACAATGCGCAAGCGACCTGCAAGGCTTGGGATGTGTGTGCAATTTCATTAGTCCATATCAGTGCTAGCGCCGGTGATTGGAAGTGCAAAACCAATTCTCCCGCATCTCCGAACACTTCGTCCCGCTTGCATCAGGCCGTGAACTATGCAGATGAACCAGCTTGGTGTGCTTTCCTTAGTTCATTCGTTCGAATGCACTGGCCTGGATTACGAAATGAAGGGCACAAAGCATAGTTCAGATTTGCACACACGGAACCGGCTGAACAGCCACGCTGACTGCGGCGCGTCATTCCGGATTTTGTACTCACATGTCCGGCTGTAAGCCAAACCACTGTAGGTAGGATAAATACTTGACAGTCACGTCTAGCAGTGTTTTCGTTGTCAAGAGATAGTCGCAACCCTTCCCTCTTCACTCTGATTATTCACATCTCATTATCTGCCCGCAATGTCGTCCATCGTGAAAGAGATTGCCCTCGTCACCGGGGCGAACAGCGGTATAGGCTTCGAGATCGCTCACCAACTTCTCCTGAGGGGGAAATACCATGTTCTTCTCGGCTCTCGCTCTACCACCAAAGGGTCTGCCGCCCTAGAAGACCTGCAAGCACGCAAGCTATCGGGTAGCATCGAGCTCGTGCATCTCGACATGCAGAACGACGACCACATTGAGCAGACCACGAAGCTTATCGAAGAGAAGCACGGCAGGCTTGACATTCTGTTCAATAATGCCGCAGTCGCCTTACCGGAAGGTTTGACGGAGCGTGAACGCTTGGCTACAGCTTTCGACGTAAATGCAACCGGGCCATGGCTTCTTGCGAACGCGGTCGTTCCGTTGCTCAAAAAAAGTGCGAACCCGCGAATTATCAACATATCCTCTGGTGCAGGGTCGATCGGTCGCCGTCTCGCCTCAGAAAGTCCAATGTACAAGATCCAGGCCGTTCCGTATCGCGCTAGCAAGGTCGCTTTCAATATGCTTAGTGCGTGCCTATATGTGGAGTACGGACTGGGAATCGAGCAGGTGGACTTTACGGGTATCAAGAAGAACGACGTCGAGGCCAAAAACGAGGAAAACAGTCCGAAAATGAAGGTCTTTTGCTACGACCCTGGTTTTACGGCCTCTAACCTGGGCCCGCACAATAAAGAAGAGTTTGGTGCGAGGAGTGCACAGGAGACGGTGAAGAGTATCATGGAACTTGTCGACGGGAAAAGAGACGAAGAGTGTGGCAAATTTATCCATAATACCGGAGGATACCCATGGTAGGTCGAGTTTGGTTTCATGTACCGGAGATGACCAAGTGTGGGTACAATTTGATAATGCTTCCGTCGCAAAGAGTCCTTAAGCGTCGGGCCTAGCAACGGAAGAGTACTCTTCCACCCTTACGTCTTGGCAAATCAGCAAGCTTTTGGAGCGCAAGGCTTGGGCAATTGGTTTATCCATCTCCTACCAGTTTTTGCTTAGTGTTTAGCTTCGGGTGCGTAATGTATGGACAGAGGTCCACTACGCCCATGGCTTTAGTGTATGCATGCTTATATTTGCATGTACCTGCAAGCAAAGTATATTCATCTGCAAAACAGCAGTAGCACATCTCTTCAACATGCGTATCTCACATCTCTCCGCTGTTTACTCTGTCTTTGCTGTGGTGTTTTCATATCCGGGAGTACCAGAGCGGTTACATGGCGCGAGTTGTCCTTATGCAATGACCCGAACAGAAAAGCCAGGATGTGTTTACTCCAATTCGAAGCTTAGCGCAAACGTTGACAAGACGGCATCTCATAGGGCGCTGGGGAAACAAGGTGTTTTCTTCATGAACCGTATTGCACCGGGCACATCAGAGCTGTACATCGCCAATGCGGATGGAAGCGATGAGCGCAAGCTACTGGGCAATAGCTCAGATTTCGATTACCATGCGACCTTCTCTCCAGATGGGCAGTGGATAACCTTCACCACTGAGCGCAACGGGGATGGCAACTCGGTAGGTGTTCTCATGAATTTAGTAAAGCACCAATCGGCTAATTCAACGTGCAGGACATATATCGCGTTCGACCTGACGGATCAGATTTAGAGATGATAACTGCAACACCGTCCATGGAAGATGCAGGGACGCTATCGCCGGACGGAAGCAAGATCGCCTACGTTTCGACAGCCAATGGTTACAAGGCCAACATCTGGGTGATGGACCTCACCACACGCCAGACAACCAAGCTTACCAGCACCGATTTTGTCAAGGGTAATGATAGCTTGCCAGAGAGCTATCTACGTCCTTCTTGGTCACCAGATGGTAAATGGATCGCTTTTTCTTCCGATCGTAACACGCAATGGCGCGGCCATGGCAACGGTACCGGATGGGAACATACCCAGGAGCTGTCACTCTACGCTATCCGTCCCGACGGTACTGGCTTCAAACAGCTCGCTACTAAAGAAAGCTACTGTCTGGGATCGCCCAAGTGGTCCCCAGATGGTAAGCGCATCATATACTACGAGATGTCCACTGAAGACACTTGGAACGCGCACCGACCTGAGTCTTTACAGACTGTCACTGGCCAACTCGTATCCATTGCCTTTGACACTGGTCTTGATCGTGTAGAACACACGGAAGGCTCTGGTCTTAAGATGTTTCCCCAATGGATTGGCAACAACACCATTGCATACCTACTTAAGAATACGGACGATGAGGGTCTGAACTACGTCGACATCTCTGGTGATAATGGCACCCTCAGTGCCTACAAGGCATCGATTCGCTCGCCATCCTGGTCGCCTGATGGCTCACAGGTCGTCTACGAGAAAGTCGATTTCGATGCAATTCGTCCTATGGGTAAGGAACTTTACAGCTGGAACGATGAGTGGGATTATCGATTCACCGACATTTTCCCCCAGCTTTCTCTACAGGGAAGACTTGCCATCACGCAAAAGCAGCTTGGCAATTCGAGCATTATCACCATGTCCCCAGACGGTACCGATGTCAAGCAGGTGTTCGATGTTTTCTCTGCCAACATGAGCGAGACCGCTATAGCACAGGGTCTTTCTGGCGCCTTCCAGCCGTCATGGACCTCAAGCGGCGATTGGCTCGTCTTTGGTGTGGGATCGTGGTTCCAGAGTCGCAGCACAGGCCCTGGCGCCCTGTACCGCGCGACTGCCAACGGTTCGTTCTCTGAACAACTGACAGAAGGTTCTGTCAATACTGGTTTCCCTAGCTACTCACCCGATGGTCGCTACATCGTTTATCGCGTCTTTGGCGGCGAATATGGCTTGCGCATCATGAACTTAGAGGACCGGTCGGTCAGCATCCTTACAAATGCCACTAGCGACAATTACGACAACTTGCCCTCTTGGTCACCAGATGGCTCACGTATCGTCTTCTCGCGCCGGGTCACCTACACGAACTTTGATGTATGCACCATCAAGCCTGACGGTACTGGCCTTCAAGTCCTGACCTCCAGTCTGGGTAACGACGCACATGCGGTTTGGACGCACGACGGCCGTATCATGTACTCTACAGCGCAATATGGATTCCGAGATGAGGCTGCGATATACGACGATACATTCCAACCATACGGGCAGATCATGGTCATGAACGCTGATGGCAGTAACAAGACGTTGCTAGTGGATAGCATGTGGGAAGACTCGATGCCTTTGTATATTCCGAATGAGTTCCTTGATATGTAGTCTAGTACGCAACTTTAGAATGGCCGTGTCGATCGGATGGATGTGCATGGATTGTCTTGATGGCCAATCATTAGTTTCTGCCAATGGTACTTGAAGAAAAGAGGCTTGACTTCATCCATTACTTATAGTCTTTTGATGCGCGTTCCACTAAGTGACTACTATATGCAACAAACTCTATCTAGCACATCTCAACTACACCAACGACGTTTGAGACGCCATTCTCAATCTCTCTTCCACTTGCCTCCACTCTTACAAAGCCAAGTGATTGAGTCACGACTGCCTTTGTTTCGAAACCAGTCTTGTTAACACTGACAACCTCACTCAAGCTTCCGTTGGATACACCGCCAAATACCGTCCAAACTCGATGCTCCGTAGCGCCATTCCAACTCATGTAGACTTCCGTACCATTGCTTGACTTGCACGCGTATACATCCGGCTTCGAGCTAGGCTTACCAACCCACTCGGCCTTGTAGCTGCGGTAGCTCTGTACCGCCTCCGCTTCGCCCCAGGATACGCTTAGCACTACGTTGCCGTCTTGATCGAACTCCTTCAGCGTTGGAACGCTTCCGTATCCCATCACGATGTTACCGGAAGGGAGCACTTCCATGTTGCCTTGGCTGACCGAGTAAATGGTGTCGTCGGGGTCGGCGAGTTCTTGTAGCAACGACGCGGTCATGTTGTGCTCATCGATCGAAAGAAATATACCAGTGGTTTGGTTGACATGAGATACAACTGCGCTGTTGTCGTTGTTGAAGAGGGAGATCGTGGTCGTGTTGGGCAGTTGAGAGGGGTGTAGACGCGCGTCGTGTTGATAGCAGAATGAAAGGTTGTTGATCAGAGTAAAATCGCCTCCGGAATAGCCCTTATAATATGTTAGTTTCATGCTCGTTGCTACCAAACCTGGTGGTATATATGGGGAAAATGTATGCAAGACTCACATTCAATGTCCACTCAACCGTTCCGTTGCGGTTGACCTTGAAAATTGAGCAGTAATGTCTTGACGAGATCAAGAAACTACCGTCGTCAAACCTTTCTACGGAATTGATGTGAAACGGTCCCCAGGGATAACTGCTGTTCCTGCCTAGGTCGTCCAGCGGATATGTAGGCACAGCACTGGCGAGCGAAACCTGATCCACATGGTCGAGATGGCTCCATTGCCAAAGTACCTCACTGTTCGTCACGTTGAGCTCCAGCACAATGGAGTCTACAACCCAGCCATCCTTTGGGCCGCCAATAGATGACAGATCCCACGGCGTAACATTCACAGCTCCAACGAACATTGTACCCTCGGGCGTAATGAGATTCTCGTGCATGTCGATCCAGCTGAAAGGCTGATACTGCGTGGGATCGTACAGGGGAGAAATGCTCTCTAATGGATATGTCGAGTTCCACAGCGTGACGTTATATATGTTCTCGTACTGTTGGTTGAGGATATAGATTATCCCATATCCAAAACCCCATGGCTCGCTGAAAGAGACACCGGCGAAGTAGGCAAGTACAGGTTCGCCGAAGAGCGTAGTCCTTCGGAATGCGGCATAGTCGCCATATCCTGACTGCCAGACTAGTTCACCATCTTCTTGGAAAATGTTAAGGCTGTAGTTGTGCGATTCGCTACCGCTCAAAGGGAAGAGAATCTGCCCTGGCGAGGTAGTACCAGTCTTGTTGATAGAGAGCACCGGAGGCTCGAATCCTGGGCGTGATTTGAAGGTTTGCCATGGCCATTGTGGGGCCGTGTTGTTCTGGGCATGTACAAGAAGGGAAGCCAATGAGGCGAGGAGGACACTTTGAAGACGCATGTTATGATGGTCGTGTAGTTGGAACCATAAAGCACAGGTGTCGAGGCCAGTCAAGCCTTTGACGTGTTCATTCTTATACGTTCCATGGTTACATCGCTGGACTACATCGCGCACCCCTCAGTACCGGAGCCTTGCACGGAGGCGGTGATGCACGGAGGATTGCAGACTTTTCCTACACCTTGTCGCAACACGAGTACTCTGCCAGATATGGAGCTTCAAGCGGTCGGTGGGACGCGTGCGATTTTGGCCCTTAGTGGGGCTAATTATCAATCTCATCTTATCAGATGCAGATCAATCCGACATCGGGTTTCGCGGAGATCTTTCGGTGGCCTTGGCGATGATGAACGTTATCTTCTGAACAAGTTTTGCGCCGCTAACGAGCTTCTTGGGTAAAGCTTCATCGCTCAGTCGGACGATACAGGAATATTTACCACCGGCATAAGTGCAGGAAGAATATGGATGGTGATGATGATGATTGAGATGATGTAGCTCGGCATGCAGGAGCAGGGAGCTCCGAGAACTTGCAGATGACACCAATCCATTCTAGTCCTTAGCACCAGTGACGAGAGGTTATCGTCAAAGCTTACATCCGTGGACGTTTGACAACCAACGACATCGATCAGATCCAAATCTGGACAGCGATGTGATCTTTGCCTTGTTCACCTGGCTGCACAACAGTCATGACATCGCTTGTGCATATCGTACGCCATGGTGAAGCACTTCATAACGTTCAGCGGGGCTATCCGGACAGAGATCCGCCATTGACAAAAGCCGGCAACGCCTCCACCAAACGCATCAATCTCAATGTCCAGCCAGACCTGATTCTCATCTCACCCATGACACGCACGATCGAAACTGCTATGAACCTTTTCCCATTCTTGACTGGGGCAGGTCCTTGGGAAGTTCCTACCCAGATCTGGCCCGATCTTCGTGAAGCCAACGACGCCATTTGCAACAAAGGTCTTTCACGGGCAGAGCTGTTAGCAAAATTTCCGCAGTTCGACTTCTCTGAATGTCATGAAGAGTGGGACTATCCAGAACACAGCATAGAAAGCGCTACTACGCGTGCAGAAAATGTACGAAGAAGGTTGAAAGATCTGTCCGCAACATACAGCAACATCGTTGTTATTACGCATCGAGGTATCAAAGCTTTCCTTGTGAAGGGGAAGCGCTTTGGACTAGCCGAGACAAGGTGCTACCGCTTTGCTACTGAGGAAGAAACCCAGGATGACAAGATCAGAAGAGGCGTCAACACTGATACAGGAGAAGAGCAAGATTTTGGACCGACGGTGTTGATATTGGAAGAAAGTCAAAGAAAAGATCGGTGAAGCTGCGGGTCGTTCGACTCAGGCATATGAAGACGTGCATGAGAAGGGATAAAGTCTCTTCCGGAACACATCGTGCCGTGCACGTCACAACCGGAGCCAGCAAAGCATCCGGGCCATGAACTCCGTAGGTAGTGATTGGGCTAGTACCGCCAAAAGCATCACAGATACCCCACCATAATTCCATGTCTCATGACTCAAGACTTCAAGAACGAGAAGAGATCATCAACTGCGAAGACATAGCAACTTGTTTACGTGTAGAACACATGCAGGAATCAAGGCGTTCTCACAACGAAGCAATGACTATCTTGGACGGACTGTGCGGGCTTCGGCTTTGAGTGATATACGCCTACGACAAGTGTCGATATGATCTTGATACTTGACTGCTAACGGGCTGTTTCATTGTTTCAGCTTGCGCTATGCGCTCGGTTCCCCTTGCCTATGTGCCGTCTTCTGTTGGGTTATCGCCTGAGTCCAATCTAAACCTGTACGTAACCTTGCGATAGTTGCTCTCCGTGCTACATTTCCACTTTCTTGCTCAACAAACTGATCTAACTCAAGTTCGGTCGGCCGCTGATCAAATGCCACGGGATCTGTTCCTTGTTCCTCCTTAGGTGTGATCAAAGCTGCCATGACTTCGCGCTCTTTCTTACGCCACAAGAACCAAGTACCTACTACCACAATTAAGGTCAGTGCGATCGTAACCAAGAAGTATAGCCAGATCCATTGAGAGTATATGCGACCACCTAAGTCATCGTCGAAACTGAAAAACGTGGTGCTGAAGAAAGTCTGCAATTGTTAGGCTGACATGCGTCGACTTTGTGTGTCACGGTTAGACTCACAGCAGTGACTAGATGCAGGTTTACAAAGTCAGTGAATGTCTCGCATGCAGTTCGTACGAGAGCATTACTTACACGTTGCCGGTAAGAAGAAAATGGTAATCGCAGCAATTATTCTCATGACGGCACTGTCGCGGGATGTTGATATTGCTACGCTTTGAGACGATTGCGCCAGACTGGTACTCGTGCTCGCCAAACGAAGACTTGTCGCTGAGTCGCGCTGCGCAATCGCACTATAGACCTGGAGAAGAACATGTCAGCACACTGCCAAAAGGTCTATGAGGCACTCACAGTTTGCACTAGGGCTTGTCCTCGCTTGGATACGTATTCTGCTCGATCCTCAAGCCCCACGTTCCAGGATCGCAGCTCGGAATTGGTATCAAGGAGCAATTGCTCGATTTCAGTCGATTCGTCTTCGGGTACCCCATTATTGTCTGCTTGCCTTTTGTATCTCCTTGCAACCTGATCAAGAAACTCGAGCATACGTGTAGTGCTTTTGCAAAGCAGGACTATAAATGCGAGATTGGTGTTCACAGCGTTTAGGTCTTTCGAGAGCGTACTGAAGTCAATACTTGACAGCTCAGGGTTATCATAGTGGTCGAATCGGATGCCTATCCTTCTCTCATTCCAATAGATTTTATCTTGCCAAAGGTTCAGTGCTTTCACTCGCTGCTCAAGATTGAAGCGCACGATGATACTTGGCACTAGGAATGCTGACATGCTGGAGGCGCCTCCTTGAATCGCGTATGAAAACCGATCGTAGTTGTTGCTTGCAAGGCCATGCATAAAGATGTACATATGTTTAGTGGAGAAATCGTAGGTGAAAGAAGCGCTCACACACACATGAGACATTGCTCCGGGTACTGACTGCAAGATGAAACCTAGCATGATGAGCTCAGCAGCATATTTGGATTAATGTATCCCTGCTCCTTACTTAGGTATTGCTTTCGCATTGCTTTTGGAGGCCTATGCCGCAGAAACGTGGGCAGCTGGGGAACAGCGAAGACGTAGGTTGCCGCCTTGTAGTCCAGCACGCGCGCATAGATTTCTGGTATCCGTGCAAAGATAGCAATGCGTCTGAACGTATGCGATGACAGAGGTACCGGCGTCATATTGCCATTGTAATCTCCTATGCGTCTGGACCAGCTACGACAAGAACATGTTAGCATTACAGCCGGTATACAATTCAAAGAACATGCTCACAACAACTTAATGGTCTCCACGTTCGCTGGCTGTTCAATCTTGCTTCCATATGTCTTCGTCTATGTTAGCGCATGTCCATAATGGACTTCTGACAGACTTGCCGAAAAATCATTTTCAATGTATCCGTCAATTAGATCATCAGTCACTTGCAGCCTCTTTGCATGACCATCACTAGTCACTTCGATTAGGATGACAGGTGCTTGTTTGTCCTCTATAAAGGCCAGCGGTGAATGCCCTGTCGCCATAGCTGTGGTGAGGCCTTAAGGGAAGGTTTCCTATGCCTGTAGGGGAGGTAAACCAAGACCGGAGACGTTTCCAGTAAAATGTCCGCTCAATGATTGGGGTGTTATAATATCGCGATCTGTTGTCTCGCGTCTGAGCTGAATGACACGAGGAGCTGTCGTGGGGGCCAGAATGGCTTCTTCATCGTGATTGGTGGGCAACAAGTGGCTGCATCAATTCGCGAGCATTTGACTGAACAGACCATGTAATCAACCGCGACGCGAACCTTAACATATACTGTTGTACATGTCAAGTACGAAGCACTGATGTAAATGGCTGGAGCGGCGTGTGCTCATGTCCTGAAGCACTTGGAGAACCAAGCCACTTGCACAAATCAAATCTACTGCTCAAAGATCGCGTCGCACACGTGATGAACTGCTCAAACGAACACACGAACGACAACTTTTTGATACTATCGCCTAACACTATAACAGCTACATGCGCATGTCCTAGCGAACTTGCTTGCTGTAGCAAAGAGAGAGCCGACGAAAGCCGAGTGGAAAGGAACAGGCGTATACTCGGCATAATCAAGCGACCTTCCTGCAAACCAGAGCATGTCAAAAGATTGTGCCGCACTTGCATATCCTGCGCACGACTACTCGTCTACTTTTAACTCGCCATTTTCAGCGCCACGCAGAGCGTCGAGCGCACGGTCCAGTTCCTGTTCAGCTACCATGACCGTCCCGGCACGCGCGGTGCTCAGATAACTCATTTCAACAGGATCTTCCAGCTGTCCTGTTGTTTCGCCAACCAATCTGCCGGCTACACCACACACAATACCCGTGCTTTCCATTGGCAAATCCCGTAGATCCAATGTGATGGGCGTCAGAAACTCATCTCTTGAGCCGAGGAGAGTATCTTGCGCAAAATGCGGCAACAGAGTGTGGTCGAACAGCAATGCCGCAGATTCGGTGTCAGTTAGCGTGAGGGATAAAAATTTCGGATATGGTTGGGTGATGAGGCATTTTACGAGACCGAGATGGAGTGCGTCGTCGGCGGCAGTCGTCATGCTGTTGCGATTTCGAGCTTGGTTCATGCCATTTGCGCTATCCCGGCGACCGGCACACTGAACGAGTCGGATACTGGAATCTACTGTAGGGACAATACTTCGACGCTTGAGCGTTGCAAAGGTCCTGGTTTGAAGCTCTGAAATAGTGGTTGGCGGAGGGGTACTGGGCGGTTGAACTTCGAGTGACGCGGCTGAGTGTTTGCGGCCATGTTGGAACGAGTTGACGTATGAAGAAGTGTCCTTTTCGAACTGGAAACCACGTTCCTCTAGTGCCTGCACGACCTGTGATCGATGTCGCAACGGGACCAGAATGTAGTCGGAGAAATAAGTGGTAATAAAGAAGATGGGACTGGAATAAAGTCAGTCTCAAGTGTAATCTCTACGGCGATTACTACTCACATTCCAGCCAGAGCGAGAGGACTCGTAAGCTCCAAGACGCGTTGGCCTGCGTCAAGTCCTTCACCATCGACTTGCATTACAACAAAGTCATCTGTAGTGATACTGACAGACTCTTTTGATTCAGCATCCAACAAATTGAGAACAGGCACGAACAGTTCACTCGCAAGTGTCCTTGAGCATACTATGGAGCACTCGACTGGCGTGATAGAGATATTCACAAAGGGATGCTCGCAAGGCCAGCCTTTCGGAGGCTGCACCGCACCAGAACCGTTCCCGAAAGCCTTGCGCGTTGCATTGGGCAATACTAGTTGAAGAATTGACTGAAGAAAGTTGCGATACAGGTGCAGCGGGATGTGTATCAGAGCAAGTTGAGTGTCCTTAGAGGTGATCATGTTAGCTGATGTCCATGGAAGAGAAAATTTTGTGTGGGAGGCAAATGATAAGAGTTGCCTTTCCGTATGTGGTGCATGAAGGACCCGCCACCAAGGCTCCCTCCGGTGTAAGACACGGACACTTTTGTTACCATGCAATGCAGCAAGGCGCATGAGGAAGAGAAAGCCCACGTACCAGAATTCGGATGTTAGCACTGAGAAGTGTCAAAGATGAGTCCATTACGTGCTACAAAAATGAGATAAGAATAGGCGTTCTCGATGACGATCGCTCGCGTGCCGTGGGTAGCTGGCTGCGGGACTCTTTTCCGATTCGGTAAGTCGGGTTTGACACGACTTGCTAGAGGGCCCGTGGAGCCTCCAGGAACAGTGGAAAAAACAAGCTTATCGTTGTTCCGAGAGTCTTGGTAGAGCAATGATGGTATGCAGCCACAGATAAAAATGCGGAGGATCTGACCAGGCTATCGGTTGATGTGTTCTTGTCCAACAGGCCAGTGTGAAGTATTGTTCTTGAAGCCGAAATTCATCCCACAAACTGGGTATGTGTTACTGGGAAATGGAATGTGTAGTGCCTGGATACCGAGAGAGTATATGGCACAGAGGTGCTGTGAGCAATCGTACCGATTCAGTTGCGGACCGATGGCATGCGTGAAGGTGACACAATCGCAGGGCACGGTTTAGAGGCCGCTCTATGTGACTTTGAGTCGTGGCTTACTTAGGACGAAATGCCGTGAGTCTGGGGTAGAGATGCAGCGTGGGGATCAATGCAGGTGACCCTTGTCTAATTGGCTGGGAGGCTCCCGGATGGTGCAGATGGGTGAACCCTAAAGTTGGTTTTCAGGGCAGCGTGCGCAATGCGCGGGGCGAGCTGGGCGCGTGGGGTAGCACACTGGACGGGAATGAACACTGAGATGACGGCTGGACGCAAGAATCGGTCCTGCGCGTAGAGCGGATGCTGCTGCTGACGTCGACTGTGAAGGCGTGGGACAGAACCCGGTCGGTGGATAGCGGGTGTAGTGAGGGACAGCTGTTGGCGCTGGTGGGGTGGATCAGTGAGTGCTAGGAAGCATCAACGCTTTATGTGAGTCGAAATGCAAGTGGAGATATCCGCCGGGTGTGGTGACTCGAAGAGGCACTCCGAGAATTTTCCACGATGGCGCGGCCATAATGCTGGGAAATTGCCTCTGTGGCCGGCGGCAAGCAACAGTCAGCGAGTAGATCGAGTCAGCTTTGACATATGGATGGGACGTCAGAGGCAGCCACAATAGTGCATCCCGTTGATGCTGGTGTCATGCAGCACTTGATGAGCTGCAAGCAGACCTTGGGGTTGTCCGTGCTCCATGCCAACCACCAGCACTCATGCCGCGATTGCAATCCGACCTGCACCCAATCTCTCTCATGCTTGAGGGTACCTGATCGACGCCAGCAACACTGCCAGAGTTCCACAGCGTTAAAGACGACGTTTTCACGGCGCCGACGGGCAGACTCTCGGGGAGCCTTGCGAAAACGATCACACGTCTTTTAAATCTCACACGAGATGACGAACGCCATGCCTCTCAGCGTGAGCTACGCATCTGTAGTCCCTGACCCCAGCAACACATGGGATAGCAGCTCCACAGAGTCCATGGGTGTTGCAGGATATGATTGCGTGCATGCGGTATTGCCCTTTGTCCCTGAGCGGGAAGCCGAGCATAGCCGCCGCTGTCGACCGGACCCTGATTGTTTATCACTCTTTGCTCCACACGTCGCGATACGCGCAGATACCACCACCTGTTCCGCGGTCGGCACTGCTAGAGGATAGACAAGAGGTCGGCGATGAGTGTCAGAGCAACCAGTACCTTGGTGCGCGCTGTCGTGTAACTAAAGAGGCGCATACCCCGCATCATCTGTCATTTCGCCTGTGCACCGCATCCTTCGAGGACTGTACGTTCACTGGACCCTTCGCACTGACGTGCACGCGAGTCCAGAGGACGAACGGCTACCCGCAGCTCGGGAGAGCAGCGTCAACAAGGTGGGTCACTGTATCGTCGAGCTCGGAATTGGCCGATATCACCACCATGCGATGATGTCGTCTGCAGGACCCCTCTCGGTTCAGCATCCCGGACCCACAAGCGGACGCCGCATACGCAGCACGCACAATAAACAAGCTTGCGCGAGAGACGCTTCGAAACGTATGCGTGGGGGCTGCTCACGTTCTTACTGCGTCTGGTCCTCTTACCCCTCGCCAACTCATCCATTTTCTCCGCAGATTATAATGCTCGCTGTTATCCTTCCTACGCTTGACGGAAGCCGGCAGGTCTCCCGCCATGCATGACATGGAATTTGTCGGTAAGACATCGAATTGGATACATATGCAGCCTCCAAGACATCAGGGCCGCCTATGAAAGCTGATGATACCTCGCACAAGACATTGCACGATACGACTATGGAGTGCCGTTTGACAGCAATGTGGTCGCACTGCATCTAGAGATAATGCGATCTCTGTGCTATCTTTGCTCCCCAACGCGGTAGCTCGGAGCTCAAGCTGAATTTTGATGGGCATGACTGGAGCGCGGTGCCCACGGCCGGCTCACTCCGTATACGAACCGTGACCGATCATGGACTGCTACTCCAGCAGATGATCACCAAACAAAACGCGACCGATAAGCCATCTGAAAAGAGCCCACTTGGTCCCACAGAGAACGAGAAGAAATTTATTACGACTGCCTGGGCAGTCAAGTCCGCTCAGTAGAAACGTCATGCTGCGTAGTATCACACCGCATGAACGAAGGGCGTGAGATCACGACATCAAAGACGCATTTTAAGGATCTCGTGCACCCGATGGGGTCACACGGTCAGCTATGGGCATACATCTAGCTTTCCTAGTATGGAGCAGACGGCTTGAAAACTTCATGGCCACTCAAACACGGGTATCACTTTTTCATGACGCCCATCACCTTCGCCTGGCCATTGGACATTCCGATGTTTCAGCGTGGGTTTCGAAATGTCATACCCTGCGGTCAAAATACTATCATGTTGGATGGAAGCCGTATGGCCGCGTTGAAGAGCTACTACGTTCTGAGAAGAATATGCCGTTTTTGGCACAGCCCACATCGTGATGACGTTAACTTCAGGGTTACTACTCTGGTCGTTTCGATACGTACTCGTAGTCCAGCTGGAAAGGAGTGGCTTTAATCCGAGCGTGTAGCGACTGAGTGAGAATACAGTGATCCAGCAGAACTATTGGGAGAGTATCTGTACGACGGATGTGACATAAGTATCTAAGTACTTGGATATCAAAGTGAACAGGACGTATGGATGGCGGTGGTTTGGTCTGTGATATAATCAGTCGTGAACCTGTTCGTTTATCGGAATTGATGCATTGAAAATCATTGTTCAACAGTCATTTTGCGCTTCAGAGTGGATGAGACTTGACGGACGCAGTAGCATAGCTTTCACTGGGATCCAAAATGAATCGTGATATTGGTCCGTGCATTGTCGCTTGACTCGCAGGACAGAATGTAGTCGCGTTACCACAACAAACAGACACGGGTATCACAATTCTTATCGTTATCCAGCATCACGACACCGCGACGCTCCCTGTCCATAGTCGCATGTAATAATCATGGTCCGAACACATTCATCGTATACGGCCAGCCCCACGCGCTTCCAATCGCCTCAACGCAGTCCAGCGCGTCGCCCGTCCCAAGATGGATCGCAATATGAAATGGATCTCGATGCTCTGGGCCTCAATTCCACGTTCGAGTCGACAGAACTAGAAGACCACCACCAACCGCCCGTGGATCACGTAGACACGAGCGAGATTGAAGGGCCGGAAGACTTCACCATGAACATGACCTACTGGATGACGGCAGATCTCCCGCTGGCGCAGATAAAATCGCGGAAAGAAGCCAACACAAAACGACCCGTGATAAGAATGGACGCTATACAGGATGGAAGTGAGAGCAGGCAGGCAACAGAAGTGGGCGAGCCGGCAGTCGTGGTGGAGGACACGGAGCAGAGGAGAAAGAGTCGATCTCGCACCACTTCCCCTACGAGGCGCGCAAACGGCACAAAGAATGAGCGTCAGCATAGTATACCAGCATCTGAGCGGTCTATGGAAAATGAGGAGAAGGTTCGGAGCTTTCTCAGCAATCTACCAGACACGGAGATGGAGGGCGCAATCACAGGGACGCCGCTACATGCACCAAGACATAGTTATCTACAAGTCCCACGATCCTCACCTCCGAAAGCCCGATCTTTGCAACCCACCGTCGAGGACTACGATACACCGCGCAAGCCTACCCAAGAGACGGTCATACGCCACACCTCGGCCATCATCGATACAAGTGAGCAGGATGTGGCTCGGAATAAGATCGCAGAGCTGCAACATCGCCTTGAACAGCACGAATCCACTTCGAGATCGCGCATTACCGAACTCGAGACAATCCTATCGTATACCCGCTCAGAGCTCGAGAGCACACGCAACGACAACTACAAGCATAAGGAGAAGGTGTCAAACCTAGAGAAGAAAATGGAACAGCAACGTGCAGACGATGAAGCAGCTCACGCAGCTGCGAATGCCGACATGAAAGCGCGAGAGGATGCGTTGGAGACCAGGATGCATGACTTCGGAGAAGAGATGCGTCTCCAAAACCTCACCAAGCTGGAGACCATGCTGGAAGAGTTTGAACGGCAACGAAAATCTCTCGAAGAATCGAAACGACAACTCACCGAAGAGGTCGAAGACAAGGACATGAAGCTAGAGGAAGTTCAAGCAGAGCTGGCACAGGTACGCCAAATACACGAGCGTGAACTCCACGACCTGAAGGAGACGCAACTCCACGAAGCTGGACATGGTAGTGAAGATGCGGAAAAGGAGCGTCTATTGTTGACCGAGCAACTTTCCTCGGTCCAAGCGCGAGCGAACGCTTTGCAATCAAACCTTGAAGCGGCTACATCCGACGCAAAGGCAGCTCGTGAGGAGGCTCGAAGAAGAGACGAGGTGTATTCCGCTATCGCACTCAAAGCTCAACGCCACACAGCCCGCATTGCCGAACTGGAAGGCCAACTCCAGGCTGCCAAATTTGAAATTGAATGCTCACACGCCGATGTGGCAGCTAAGCAGCAGCTGTTTCATACAAATCTTGATCTCAACTCTCGACTCCGCACTCTGCAGTCAGAGCTAGAGACCGCACGGAGGGACCTCACCGCAACGGATCAGGGGACTCGTCGCTCGGCCGATCTGGAGACTTGCGTGAGAGATCTTCAGTCACAACTCGAAGCCGTCCGCGCGGAAAGTACCACGAAGGAACAGCACCAATCGAACACAGGTGATCTGGAGAAGCGTCTCGGTTCTCTTGAGACGCAGCTTGCATCTGCGCTTGCAGACCTAGCTGCTAAAGATCAACAATTGCAGAGTACATCCGCTCTACAAAGATACGTCAAGTCGGTAGAGTCGCAACTAGAGCGTCCTGGCATCGGAGTATCTGCGAGCGATGGACACACCCCGCAGGTAGCGGAGCTCGAAGCGCGCATAAGATCTTTGCAGTCCCAACTGCGATCCGGTCAGTCCGATCTATCTGCAAAAGAACAAGAGATTTCCTCTTTTGTTGAATCGCAAGAGCATGCTGAGCAACGATTGAACACGGCCCAGGGTCGGCTACAGAGTCTCGAGACAGGCAACACGAATCTTCGTCAGCAGCTCGCAGAGGCTCATCGTGAGAGTGCCAAAGCCCGAGCTGACGCAGAATGCTTCAAGCAAGACTTGGAAGATGCCAACGACCGTCTGCGTGATGCTCGCGCCGAGGCAGATCGCCGTGTCAACGACCTTGAGAAGAAGCTGAACAAGATGAAGGAGTTGAAGATTGAAGCAGAGAACAAATACAAAGAGTTACGCGACCAACATGAAGACATGATAGAAGGACACGAGGCTATGATGGAGGACGTCCGCGACAAGGCGGAGGATGCTGTGCGCAAAGCCGGCGCAGTACTCGAGCAAGAGCGTAGCGAGAAGAGGAGTCTTACCAAAGACCTCAAGCGGGCTAAAGAAGAAGTTGAAAGGCTCCGTGCGGCCGCATCTGCAAAGCTGGAAGAGGAGACAGACGAAGACACTACCATCTCATCGTTCGCAACAGGGGCAAACGCGAAGGATAACGAAATCGCCAACCTCCGCGAGATTATCCGCAAGCAAGTGTCCGAAACAAAAACCCTCAAGTCCGAACTCTCCGCCCTTCGCAAGGACAACAAGACCCTTAAAGCAACATCCACATCCGCATCTCAAGACACAACAGCCACCTTGGAAGCCCAACTTTCCGTTCTTCGCTCCGAGAAAGCAGCCCTCGAGACGCGTCTTGCGAACCAAGCCGCTGAAAACGACGCTATCAACAAGCAAATGGATGAGAAATTAGCCACACTGCTTAGTAAACTTATGAAGGAGAAGGCTAAAACAGTGGTGGGTAAGCGTGATGGACAGTGGACCGAAAGTGTCAGGGAGATAGAGGAAGAGAAGAAGTTGCTTGGCAAAGTGTTGATGAGACAGTGGGGCAGAGAAGAGGTTGGTGTTGATGAAGAGAGAGAGGCAAAGGATGGGAAACAGGGGTACCGGTATAAATATGTCAAGAGATGATGGGTTGGGGCGCTCGTTGCATAGTACAGGCGTTATTGGTATTGGTATTGCTATATTTGGGATGTGACGAATTCATGACCTGGCCTACTCGGCCCAATTCCAGCTTCTTCATGATTCCTCCTGTTTGCCGTATGATATTTTGCAAGCGACGACCATTTGCTTGACGTCCAATCGACACGAGCTCTCCGCGGCCCAATCTTATAACACTGGGCCCAACTATGCTCCTTCTCTTATGGTAACTCCAATTACTCATCCCTTATAGCAGGCCTTTCCTGGCCAACTCGACCTTCTTTGCAAACTCGCCGTTGGCCCATCCTCCCCTGCTGCCACAGATCGCGATGCCGTCGCCGAGTTCGACTTTGTCTTCTACATTTTCCCAAGCGCAAGGGCAGTGGTGCGGGAAGTGGACGCAAGAAAGGGTGCCGGGGCAGAGGTAGTGAGAGCATTGTGCTGTGATGGAACGTTAGCAATGAATATAAGTGTCTCGTGATTAGATGTGATTGTAGAACATGTGCGATACAAGTAGTGTGAACGGGTTGTGGACTAAAAATGAAGATGCGATGCGTGGAAAAGCAACAGATTGACGTACCGCCCTCATATTGTGCCTGGTACCAGCTGCTATCACTCCTCACATTCTGTGGCTCTTGATGTTGCTGTCCACCTCCACCGCCGAACATCTGATCGAAGAAGCCGAATTGTGCGCTTGAGCACCATATGAAGGATGCGAGGACCGCGAGGATGATGTGGAATCGCGCCATGTTCGCTGTGGAGGTGGAAATGTATGAGACGACTACACGACGACTTGTGAGGTTCAGTACACGGTATGCGGCATGCGGAAAGTGGATGATGTGGAGGTTTGGTCCAGTCAATGCAAACAGGCCAAACAAGGTAAAGTGGTGTGGCAGGGGTGTAGGCTTGGCGGAATCCCAGAGCTCGGTGGTCCGCAAAAAACTCCGCTAGAATATTCAAGCTTCCATATCGCGAACTCATCCTACGCGCCAACGAACCTTCACCTACCACATTCGCTCCGTCAACACACATCTCACACCGTAGTTCTTCCACAACTCCAATACCAACACGTTAGTCAACTCTACTGCCTCTGCCCAGGAGAAGCGCAGGCCGCGCGATCCTAGTAGCTGCGAGACAAGACGAGAAGAGCGCAAACTGACGTTCCCACAGCATGCATCTTATGTACATCCCCGACCCGGCAAACCCGGCCAAGCGCATCTACACGCTGAAGAAGGTCATCGATGGCGAAGTCAGCAAGAGCGCGCATCCCGCTCGTTTCTCCCCCGACGACAAGTACTCGAGGCACAGGGTCACCATCAAGAAGCGCTACGGACTGCTTTTGACACAGCAGAGTATGTTGGAAACTCTATGAGCCCTAGAACGGGGTGAACCAGGGGAACCAGAGCTAACTGTGGGCACAGAGAACATGGTCGCTGAGAAGAACTAAGCGCATGAGGATGTACGATGAATGTTATCACACGGACAGAGGACGGCGATGAGGGCTGATGATTTGGTGTGCGAAGTAGCTGGGGACGCGAGAGGGGATGTCGCGAGAGGCGAGCAAGAGGTGGAGGCATGACAAGGGCGTTCAACGGCGTATTGGCGAACGAAAAGTCTTCAGACACGCGCCGACTTACTTCATGGCGGTACGGAGCGCCTAGGTTTTCTCTTCAATGGGCAAAATGGCAGGTTTTTGAATGCGACGATTACTATCATTCTTTCACAAGCAGGTCGTGCGTGTTTGCTAACTGAGTGATCTGTGTCATGTGCTTCATCGCTACATCGTATGTTAATCTGCAGGATTGACTCGCGACAAGTGCTCGACGCTCATGATTCAAAGTTATAAAATTATGTAGGTATTATAGCTAAGATATACATGCGTCGCACGATGGCGACTTTGCCGAAAGAAAGGAATCTACAGGTATAAAGTCGAAGTAAAAATGATCAAGGGAAAAGAAGTAAGGACACCAGACACCATCACCCAAACACCAAGTCGATGGTCTATCCTCTCACACCTATAACGTACTCCTCCTATATGACTTCTTCTCATTCGTCATCCTCCTGACCACGTTCTCCACATCCGCAAACTGCTCATAGAACTTAAGACTTTCAGGGTTCGCCAATGTTCCGCTTGGCTTGATCTTCTTGCCGGACACGATCTGCTTGACAGGCAACTCGACCTTCTTCAAATTTACTGTGGTCTAATGGATGTTTGTTAGTACCCTGTGATTCAAAAGAAAGAAGTGAAGGAAATGGGGAACGTACCGGAATATCCCAAGTCTGAAACACGTATTTTGGAACATGTCGCCGACTCCTCTCCTCAGCAATCTTACTTTTGATCTTGTTCACCAGAGACTCGGTGTACCCGAACCCCTTGTTCATCTTGAGAAAGAGAATAACGCTCTCGTCAACATCCCCCGGTCGCCGTTGTCCTACACAGATGCTATCCGCCACTTCGGGGAAATGCGTCTCAATAACGCTGTAGATATCTGCGGAACCAAAACGCACACCGCTGGGATTCAGCACGCCGTCTGCGCGGCCGAGGAACAAGACTTGACCTGTGATGGGGTGCATCTGTATGAAGTCGCCGTGCGTCCATACACCAGGGAAGCGAGTAAAGTATGCAGACTGGTACCGCGTATTTTGAGCGTCGTCGCCCCAGAAGTAGACTGGCTGGTTAGGGAATGAGGCGGTAGCAACGAGTTCACCTGGTTCGCCGTCGGGGATTGCGCAGCCTGGACCCGATTCGATGAGGGAGTCGTAAACTTCAATCTTTGTGCCTAGGGCAGGACCTTGACATCCGCCTGCGTAAACGGGCTGAAGTGGGTTCTCAAGCCCAAAACGTCCAGCAATGTCTGTGCCACCAGATTGGTTGCGTAGGTGAACGGAGGTGGGGAAACCAACGTCGTAGAACCATTCGAATTGCGCTTCCGTGAGGACCATGCCGGTTGTTCCTACACTCTTTAGGTGAGAGAGTTGGAACAGGTTCCGGGGTGAGATGTTGCGTTTTTGAAGTTCGTGGAGAAAACGTGGTGAAGTGCCGAAGTCGGTCACGCGCTGTTCTTCTAGGATAGAGAGGAAAGCCTCTGGAGACGGTTGGAACGGAGAGCCATCGTAAAGGATGGAACGGGTACCGAAGAGACAAACTTGTACGGATACAACGTACATGATCCATCCAGTCTGTGTTTACCAGTCAGTCAATTGTTGGGCGAGAGATGAGATGGGGAAGGACTTACGGTAGTATACTGCAGAATCACACTTTCGGGTGTCATCTCCTTGTGCAGTATACTCTCTTTGCAAACATTCATGAGCACACCACCAGTCGAATGCACAATGCACTTTGGCACACCCGTCGTCCCACTCGAATAGACAATCAGAAACGGATCTCTGAAAGCCACACGCTCAAACACCAATGTGTCGTTCCCTTCCGCAATCTCCAAAAACTCATCCAACCGCACCGTCTTCGACAAACCTCCAACGTCAGCCGGTCTCCCAGGAAACCTAGGCTGCACAATAACACCCTCAAACTCTGCCACACCACCGCTCTCCATGCCCTCGAGGATTCCCTCGATCTTCGGTCTCAGATCAATGGTCTTTCCATTGTACACTGCCCAATCATCCACAAGAACGTATTTGGGACGAATCTGTAATAATCGTTCGAGGATGCCTTTCGTACCCATATCAGTACTACTCGAACTGAACAGTGCACCGACGGTAACGGTCGCCATGAAAGCAATAAACGTATCAAAACTAGTCGATGCAATCACAGCGACGCGATCGCCCTTTCCCACCCCCCTAGCACGCAAAGCATTCGCGAGAACACCCACGCGTCGTCGCAAATCACCCCACGTTAGATGTCTAATTTCAGTGTTGCCCTCGCGGATCTCTGTCAACGCGATCTTAGACTCTTCTTTGTGGGTTGTGGTGCGGACGGTAGAATCGGTAGGAGAGGCGGTAAAGAGGACGTTTTCGGCAAAGTTGAGATAAGTGCCTTGGAACCAGTGAGGATTTGTCTCCATGGGGAGGGAGGTGTCGACGACGGTGGTGTAGGTACCGGAGTAGATGAGGTTGCTAGCTTTCCACATGTCGACCCAGAAATCAGTGCGTGAGGGTCCGACGCTCCAGTTGTAGAGGTCGCGGAACGTCTGTGGGACATGTTAGCGATGTTGTACCTTGTCTACTGATTGTTGTTGTTGTTGTTGTTGTTGTTGTTGTTGCTGCTGCTGCTGCTGCTGTTGTCGATGACAATGAGGCTTGATGACACGCGACAGCCATGCACCCATGTTCATATCACTGGATTCGTGGGCTTCGCGCAAGGGTCTTGTGCCCTTCCCTCCCGCCTAAAGACGTTGGCTTCTTGTCCATGTTAAAGATCTCGATCAACCATCTCGATGCTTCGTCCAACTCTTGTTCCTCATTCCGCCTGTTCCAAATTGTCACACGTACCTGCATATGTAATCCACGTCTCGCATTGGCATCCTGCATAAACTTCCACATAGCCGTAGACTTTGGATCCGGATGTTCCCATAGTTTCCGCGGTGTAGACACAGCCGTCGCCATCATCACCGGTGTCTGGTACTCAACCTCTGTTTGCAGCATAGTCGCCATGTCTTCCGCGGAGAGTGCGCGAGTTCAATTATAAACGAGTGTAAGAAAAGAACAAAACAAGAAACGAAGTGAAGTGAAGCGAGTGGATGTTGATTGTTGCACTGAGGTTTGGTCAAAGGTAATATTGTCATGATATGTAGCAGACTCTCCTCCTAACGACAGAAATTCACATGCAATGCACTTGTTGTGGCATACTTCCTTCTTCCGCTCAACAACCGGCATTCGCGATGCGGGGATGCGAGAGCGGATTGAGCTTTAGGTCAACAACAAGGCACAAGAGTCTCGAACAAGATGTGCCAAGTAAGGAACTAGGAACTTAATTCCATTGATTTCCACGTTTAATCCATGGGATCTGCGAAAACGCACCTTGGCCTTAGGTACGAAAGAGAATGCTGTGGATGTGGTGAATGCTGTGGATTCTTATGTTTCTCGGCCTACAGAAGCGTCGTCGCACAGAAGATACGTAGCCGCCCATGGCGTGTCGCTCCTCGTCGCTTCCTCTGCTGCTGTCTCAATGATGTTGCTGATGGGATGAGTCCATGCGGGGAAGCTTGGGGACGGAAGGCACCTATCCGAAGCGAACGTTTTTCGTTATACACTGTTGCTTTTGGCGCTTATCGTGCCTTATCTGGATATTTTGTTGGGATGTTTGTATGCATCTCGATCTATGAGGTTAGTTCTTCGCTGTTTCTACAGTTGATACTGTAATATTGTCGTTAGTCGCCCGTCAATTGAATCATTCAAGTTGACTTTCGAGGTTGTCTTGCTCTGTATTCCATCTCATGCGCCACTCGAAAGATTGAAGCGAACACAACATTGCGAAGGCGAGTACTTTGCATTCGTTCTCGTCATCGGTTGAGCACGCGACCTGGACCCTGAGAAGGTGCGATAGCACGTTGCATTTACCAGTGCGCGCATGTGCATCCGGAGGTCATGAATCATAGAGATGCGGTGACGACGCGTATGAAGGCAAACACTGATACTTGTCAATAAGAGCACTGTTCCAATATCGCACCATTGTCTGATAAGAAATCGAAGAGCACCGATGTTAGGCCGTTGTTGTCTCGTCTCTCCATCTGTCTTCTGGTGACAATGCTTCCGGTGCTTCTACAGTCGTTACCCCACGCGGTATGTCGACCGGTTAATCTTTGGCCCTTGCGACAGTTGTAATATGGGAATTGATATAGCTTAGGCATGGTCTCTTGCGTCATGCACCAGTCTTAGTCTCATTGGTGCGACGTACCCCACGAATATTACCAACACACGGTAACCGGTACATCTGCGCCGCGATGGTGGTTGACCACAATCTATGTGAAACTCGCTTCCAAGCATAAGCTGATAGATGGTGTGCCGACAATATCATCACTGATGATCAGATGTTCGAGAAGTTTTTGCTAAGGCGTGGGTATTATACGTGGCATTCTTGGGTCAACCCGTCGATCGAGACCCGGAAGTTCTTGTCAATTGGAGCTGTTTGCGGCCCAAGACGAAACGGTACGCCTAATAAGGCACACCCGTTCAGAAGCTTCGCCTTTCCATTGCCTGTCTTCTGAGCCTCTCATATGGCAGTGTCTGTTTGTTTCAGTGGCCAGTGCCTGATAACGATTGCTTGCGCATCAATACCAACAGGTCGGCCGTTGTAGGGGTGATCTGGATATGCGTTTGCCGCCAGAAACCAGGGTAAGTTGAGACACTGTGAAGTAACCCAGTGTATAAAAAGGCTTCGCTGTCAGCACAACTTATAGATATCCGTGCCACAAAGCTGCTGAAGTACTAGCACCGTTGTTGGTAACGTTTGAACACAGACCAGTAGCTCCATCTCAGATCATCGCGTCAAAGTAAGCAAGACCAAGCACCAAGGAATTCGTGTGCGACCTCATGGGGCTGAATCTTTGTGCATGTCTCAGAATCCTGGAGCCCGCACCTGTTTACTCCAACCAGACTTTCTACAGTTCAGACTCGACTCCAGATCGCGCCGTCGCAAAGGAGAATGGTTCTCGCTATAGGAAGGCCATTAGCGTACAGACTCCTGTGGCGATCCTTATTCGACTGATCGTGTTCTCGAAGCGCCAATGTTGTGCGGCTGCAGTGACAAATCGGGTGGAGGGGCGTCTCCGGTCTTTGTGCGTTTCTTGTAAGCAACCAACATCGTCACAACGTTGAGACGATGAGAACATCTCCGAAGCCGACTTTGGTACTACGCTGTACGGTTGGGCGTGGCAACGTGTGCGGAACCGTCGCTATGACACTGCATATGAGACATGCAGACTCGATGCAGGGCCTAGACGGCACGTTTGAGCGTGAACCGAACAGTTCTTCAGGATGATGCGAACATGATGAAAAGAAACCAGACGATGAAACGGCCGCTGGTGTTGGAGTACCAGACCCTTTTGGGTGTGCCTTACCAGCCTTGTGACGTAGGATGATAGGGCCGGACTATTGGGATGCAACAGGCTACCACAAGGCTACCACAGAAAATGCTGAGGTGAGCGGTAGTGGCCAAGAATGGACTATTGTCTAAAGGACGTCGCATTGTGAGACGAGAGATGAGCTTCCGATCACGTTGTGACTAGGGCCTGCCATGTTGGTGTAGAGTGCGAGGCTAATCCGAGGATTGGCCTAATGACTGGCATCAGAGGCAACCCTCACGAGGCTCACCGTCCAACGATGACTTATTTGGAAAGCACCTGAGTACTGTGGGCAGCTAGCACGGTCCTAAGCTCCGACGATAAGCTGCTAAGGCGTAGTGTAATATACCCAGATTGCCGAGAGTCGATGCTAGTGGCTTCATTCGGCGACGTGACTGACTCTTCAGGGAATCAGAAGACCCTCGCAGATAGATCGCGGGACGTATCTTGACTCAATGCATCAACGCAATCTTGTGCGGTTTGTGATTGATGAGTGAGTGCGGCACACGATGAACTGTAGGTATAGGCTGCGAGGGGGCCAGGGTAGGCCTGGATATGGTGTTGGCGGTGTGGGCGGGCAATAGATGGTGCAGCAACGAATAGTACGCTGGGCGGTGACCGTGCACACCGTCTGCACGTAAAATGGACCGCAGCATGCAGGTGAGTTTGGACCGAGAATAGAGCCAGTGGATCAGCGCGTTCCTGGCTGAAAAAGATAGGCATGACGGCCAAGGACATTTTCGCGCAGTCAGCAGCTGTGCGACTCCGGGTCCCGGGGGCAGCAGGCGTCGGAGCAAACTCCACGAGATGGGTCAGCCTGCGCTCGTGCTCTGAGAGTTTTGAGAAAGAAGGGTCTTCCAGGGCTCTCGGGGCTTGCCAATGCAAGCAACGGTTAGAGCGGGCAAAGAAAAAAGACATGGTGACAGTTATCGATGATCTTTTCGGCAATGGCGTAGTCCGCTCCTGGGCCAACCCCACACAGTGGGCGCCCCATCTAGCGACGGCGGACGGTGAGTGGTGCTGCCCCTGAGCGGCACAGGAACACCTGTCAGGTCACCGTCGAGAAAGGAAATGGTGCCATGTTCGCGCTGATGAAAGGATGGCGATCATGAACGCGTCCCGTCCTGTGGTGACATTGCCATCGCAACGACTCAGGGTCCTTTTGCAACGGCATCAGTCTGGTGTGCACGCCATGAGTTCCCAGTAGGCGCTCGCTCATGTGCTGAGGGTGTGCGCGCTGAGCGTCTTGAAACTCGTCGTGGGCCACTCACGTCAGGCCCCTCAGCACACCTCGCCAGCCGGCAGCTAGTGCAAGTGCAAGCGCAAGCTGCAGAGGGCTGGAGAGTTGCGCCATTGAAAGTCGTCAGTGCCTGGTGCTAGTCCAGCGTGAGATGATGAATGGCGCACCGACACGGTGAACTGACTCTTGGGTTCCCTCCCTGCTCGCTCGCCCGTCTCCACCGTACTCGGTTGTACTTGAAACCTCGACGGCTGCCAGGGGGGCAGAACCTGGAAAGTGCTGCAATATATACAGGCGTCGCCAATTTGTGTAATATAGCGTCGGCCGCACTTCACCCCTCCCCATTGCTCGACGCTACCCTATACCCACAGTGCCCCTCCACGACATCTCACACTCCAGTTGTTGCTACTCACCAGGAAGCCGAACCCGTGCGACAGGACCAGTCTCACTCAGACGCCGGCTTGCCTTGTGTTCCCAAGCCACGCACACGTCTCCGACTATTGGCGCGTAGGACTGCACGCCCTTGGTTTCAACCCTCGCCGGCTGCCGCTCAGTCCGATATATCATCACCACCGGACGAGCCATTGCAGCTGCAATTGCTGCTTCTCACTAGCAACCATGGTCGACGCAACCGTAACTTCGCAGTTGAAGCAGTGGACATTCGACAAGCCCGAAGTTGTCGCACGCCTTCAACAACGCTCCAGCACCGACAGTGCCGCCTCGAGCCCTAACCTGTGCGACGATGCTCCCGACACGCTACGCATAGACTCCGCTACCACAGAACGACCAAGTCCACCCACTACCACCAGCAACAACAAGGAAGGCGCCGTCTTCCAAGAGCGATACCTATCCAGCGAAGAAGACCTGACTGCCGACGACGCGTCTGGCTCTGATTCTGAATACGACTACGATGACGTTGTTGTCCACGATCTCTCACAAGAGTGCAAGGCGAGGACCATGTCAGTGTCGAGATGGGACAAGGGAAAGAGCTGCGACATGGCCGTGCTGGTGTCATACGCGCATGCAGGTCGTCCCAAAGTTGTCGAGAACCAACGCTCGCCCGTCGATCGCCCAACGGTCCAGCAGCGCTCGGCTTCTGTCGCGAACCTGCTTCCCGTCACATCAGCTGGTAGGCTACGAAAGGCAGACGAGGCACAGCGACTATCCATGAGGGTCATGCCTACAAGTCGTCTGGCTTCTCCTCCCCTCTCACGCTCCACATCGCCTGTCGCCGACCCTGAGCCTCGACGACCATCTACCAGTCACAGCCCCATCACTACCAAGATTGCCACATACCCCGACTCCGCTTCCTTCGCTTCGTCCTTCCAGACTGCATCGACTCGCAGCTACTCACCCGCACCGAGCCATGCACAGAGCGAGGCACCTCGTCGACCATCCTCCTCCACCGCAGGAGACGCACAATCAGCCCGCTCCTCTGTGTACATGCCATCAAAATCCCGCCTTGACCTGGCACGGATACAAACATCGCAGTCATCGTACCAATCGTCGTCGTACAGGCAATCACAATTCACGCCATTGACCCCCAACTCACCAGCACTTTCCTTCCTCAGCTCCGACCCTTACGAGAACTCAAATAAAAGCGCCGCATCGCCCATCATCAAGAAGCCTGCTGCGCACAGACGGTTAAGATCGATATCCATGAAGTTGTCTCTAGCCAAGATTGCCATCTCACCAGCGAAGAAGCCATACGACTCCCGCATCAACGGCAAGGCTCCTCCTACACCGATGACACCAGGACCCATGACGCCTCAGACTGCACCAATTGAGGGTTCAGCCAACTTCTCCAGCCCAAACAAGCTCCGTCGCGCATCCACTATCCTCCGACCAAAATCTCGGGGAAACGACTCTAAGAGGGCGCCTACACCAGAGATGGCTCCTCCGCTTCCCCAGATCAACGCCAGCACAATGCAGCAAAAGCGTGCAACCACCCTTGGCAGGATGACGGCTCGCGGAGCCAACGAGCGTGAGCCTACTCTTGTCATTCCGGAATTCCCAGCAAATGACGACGATGCCACGTCCAGCGTCAAGAGCCGCGCAATCCGACGACGCAAGTCACTAATGGATTTCATGGATTCGCTGTAAACGCATCAAGACCTCACTTTGTTTCGAAACGCATCCCCACCCCCGAACGCATAAACGCATAGACGACACACCAGTCTGCGACTACCTTGTACATTCTACTCCACCTCTACTACCTTCTCCCTGCATGCCATCCTGGCACTTAAGTCCTTAGCGCATAATACCCGGTGTACCCACAGCGCACGACATTGCATCTCCTTGTCATCAGCTTCCATTCCTGTTTGTCCTTAGAGGTTACGATACCCTCCCAACCTATTTCGTTGTTGGCAATTGCGAAGTGTTCGCCGCCACACACACCATCTGTCGCTATCCATCGCATCCAGCATGCATACTTTCTTGTCATCTTACAATTTGTCGCACAGCCGTAGCTTTTGTTTGCTTTGTCTGGAAATGAACGGTCATGATATCCCATAGGCATTTCCTAGTCTTCGCCTAGCGAGATGAGAATTAGAATCTACTTCGCTTACAACACACCTTGCCTATCACATTGCGCCACAAACGTGACAATTCATCACTAACAGTTTGCTTTTGTGACGTACTTGTTCAGACTTGTTCGGATCACCATGCCATTAACTTGCGACAACGACATCGACAGCGTGCATGCACCATGACGCCACGCATGCCCAACCCCAACCACCAGGTTTCCAACCTCCAAGTTTCCGGGCATCAGCTCCCAACGTCGCCATCTACATACGCCCAGCCTACCCAACACCACGGTCCAGCATGACGTTGCCAGACCCTCTCTACAGTGGGCCTTCGGCCTCAAATCCAAGTTTCCCTTCCCACAGTTGCACCTCCGAAAATGGTAGTGGGCCGACTGAATTCGGCGTTCCCACCTTTACCCTTGCAGCGGACCGAAGGAGTGAAATGCCCCAGTTTAACTGTTGCTTTGAGGCTTGGCTATGTTAGGGTCATGTGGGGACAGGTACCCTTGTCTGGTCATGTTTGGGAGGACAATGGCGAAAAGAACACCTCGGGAACAAGAAACACACGACCTATCGGCTAACACCGACGAACTCAGGATACGCTTAGTACGGTCACAGGCAATGGTTGACTGTTCGCTTCAGGAAGGTTGCATCTACAATGAGCTCAGTATGCTTTTTGGTCGGGTATACAAACGACGGCAGAGCACGAAATAAGGTAGCGAGAACGCCTCTCCGGTTGCAGTTGCAGTGCTACGAGGACACAATTTTGTTTTGCCAAACTCTCGGGGCAGCCAAACTTCCGTTCACTTTCCTCGCCTCACCACAACACCAATGAGATTACCGACCTTACTCAACTCCAGCATCAATGCTCGGCAACACTGACTAAGTCTACAATAAACATCGTTCCCTCGCAACCGTTATTCTCCACCACGTGCCCACCCACACAATGCGCCCGACCACGTAGGCCCTCATCTGCTCATCACACCACCAAATCTGCCATCACACCCACGCCCATCCCCACTTTCACAATGCAAGAAAATCAGCCTCATTCAGGCGATCATAATATCCGGCTCACCCCTGTCTATAGCAACACCGAAATTGATGCAAGGGGAAGAAAACATCCGCTCGGAGGGCCGCGCGCTTCCCATATCTCGCCGTCAAACCACCGTCCGATCAGATACCCGTCATCTAAAACTTACCAAAGTCGCCACTTACCCCTACACGACCACAACAACCCATGATCGGCTGCCGCGTCTGCTAAATTTCTCCGTGTGGCCCAAGCTCCTTGATGTTCGAAAAGTGAACTACCAGTATCACAATAAGTCAGTGACCGTGCTGTGCTGAACTTTGGGGAAAATGTGATTGTAGTTCGTCAAGGTGAAACGCGTTAGTCGCGCGACATTTTCTCGAAAAGGAACGATTTGGGCTTGGCATGGTGAAACGGGAACGCGGAAGAAGTAGACATCGGTCGTGGTTGTGATTGTGGGATTTCGGAGAAAGGCACGGGAGGTGCAGTATTGCGTGCAGAAGGATGCATATGAAGGTCGTTTGATCGACCGCGAGGGATGCAAAGGTGGAGATGAGATGGATGTGACGGGGATGGGGGCTTGCAGTGGGTAGGATATGTCGATAAGGGAAGGGAAGGGACGGAAAGAGGTGGAGGGAGCGGTTGGCCAGGTGAGTGTCATGTGATTGCGCGTACTTGCTTTCGAGCAGGACGCGTCTAGGTTGTTGTCCTGAGGCTGCAATATCCAGCGTAACAGTGAACCTCAGTTCTGCTGACGAAATGTGCTAGTGCCAGTGGACACTGCACTAGAGGAAACCTTTAACATCTCGAGAATGAATGTATCAATTCGTACTGATGTGCAACTTCTTAGATTTTCCTTGCTTTGCATAAGCTAGCTGCCTATGATAATTGTCCAGGCAAGGGGACATTGTCGTCGCACTCGTCATGTGTATATAATATATGTAGGCCTTGGTACCAATAGGTTCATTCTACTCTGCTTCGCTGATGAGCTACTAAAACTGGATGTTTCACCTATATAAAGAAAGTGAAAAGAGCTTAAAGCTTATGAACTCGGCCATTCCCAATTCCCCCGATCTTCTACCATTGCTATTGTTTGACCTCCTCCCAGAACACCGCAGTGGATCCAGATTGTTCGTCTTTCAAAATCAGGTTCTAACTGTATACAAACACTCTGTGCCCAACTCCGCTTCGGTTTCAAGATGGGCAAAACTGTGCGTGATACTTTGGGGACACCCCAGCACGCCATTTTCTCAAGCAGCTGGGTACGAGTATTTATTCCCTGTGTGAGCAAGGGTTGCAGTTTGGAAATTTCTGTTGTCCATCTTTGGGCGTCTATTACCGTATACTGGGTTGTGTCGATATCCGTGGACCATCCAAAGGCCAAGATCATGAATTGGAAGCTTTCGTCGTATACGTGCACTGTGAGCATCTCTCCAGCACAGTCTGTCCGATCACCCTCTGGCACAAAAAAGACCCCGTCTTCGTCGTCAAAGCAACCCAAGGTAGCAACCAACTGAACTTGTATCACGGTTTCGTCAAATGTCGCACACCTAATGCTCAAGACATTCCGATGACTCGAACTTATGAAGAGTGGTGTCCAGGATTTTTTAGTGGGTTCAGAAAGAGACCAAGCCAGTGGGGCTCTCGTGGATGGTTGTTCAACTAGAACGTAGCAGTAGCCTTGAGTTGCACGTTTAAGAAGTGTATCATTGTAACAATAGAGATTGTAAGGGCCGTCTCGAACAAAAGTGTTCGAGCCAACCTTGCGCAGCCGTATAGCCAGATCAGGTCCCGTTGAAGAATGACAATATAGCGGCAGAATACTGATGTATCCATCCATGCTGTCAGTATGGAAGACGGAATTTGTCTTGATACCGTTGTTGCGAACCGAAAACTCAATAGAGTAATCACCAAATGATGCAGTCTGGAGTTTTCGAGCATGTGCAAACGGAACAGGGGATTGGGCGAGAAGTCCGCAATGAGGCTGGATGTCAGATTCTAGAGGCGATGAACCTGTACGTGATGGCTCAGCGATCCAAGCGAAGATACTAAGATCAGGGCTCGATCTGATGATCTCTTCTTGCAGTCTGCGGAAAGCTTTCGATTCTTCACCATATAGTAAAGGCATATTGACGCCGAATAAGCCGAGTAGACAATACGCCATGTCTTCAATGCGGGTGGTCATTCGTTTTGCAGCCCACGACATCTTGCGAGCAACGCATACCGACGAGAGAGCCTCGTCATGCTGTAATATGCCCAAATTAACCCCAGTAATTAGTGATATCTGGGAGCAGAGACTTGCTTTGGTCCCCACTTGGTTCCATTGCGAATCAAAAAAGTGCGTTTCGAAAGGCGCTATCAACTCCTGTAAGGTCCAGCCGCGTGTAAACCTGCGCCAGAGGTAAGCTTGATTCTGACATTGACTCATACGTACTTGCCATCGACACGCTGATAGTTGTGTTGCCAGATCTGCATCTGCCAAAAGATCTGAGAAATACACATAGCATCTTTGACTTCTTTGGTACCATATATACATCGAGTTGATGGCTTCTGTCAATTCGGCGCTGCTGCTCTTGTCGATGCAACATGTGTCTACCCAAGCATATACCACACCACTTTCTCTGGCCAGTTCACATGTCTTTCTGATTTTTTCGTACCCCTTCTTAAGTGGACAAGCGCCGCCGAGATAGTCCTGATATGATACTTCCTCGTCTTCCCAAGTATGTGATAGTATCGCATATTCCGGGATATTTCGACCGATAAACTCTTCGAAGGCTCCTGTGCTGGTGTTGATGAGTCGCATATCGTAAGGTAGGCAGGACGAAGTGGGAGGGCTATAAGGTGTGGTTCAAGCGACGAGAGTTGGCGATCAGGCTGAACGAGGTGAGGGGGCTAAGCCTCATCGCTTACGGTGGTCGACAGAAGGACACTACCCCTACCCCCATTACCCAATAGGGTGCTGGCAAGACACATCCAAACAACTACAATGTCGCATACTACTGTCTATGCTGGACTCTGGGTGAGTTAAAGGGTCAAGACCTCATCAGAAAACGAGAACGAAAAGCTCTACTGAAAGGTCGGATGCAGTACAGGGCCCCTGATGCTGTTGCTACGACACTTTCGTTATCTCAGCTATGCTTGGTGGATATTTGTGGTGTTGCTGTCAATGTTGCTCGTCGCGTCGGGAATGCGCTAGCTCATTTGCAGCGAGCGACGTCATGGTGATTCGCGTGTCTGGCGTGACGGCTCCACTTTCACAAGCTCCGAGGACGCGCATCTCTCTCCGTAAAACCTCTGGTACCTTGACTGCCGAGTGATGCTTGTCGCTTAGCAAACATGGCATCTGCGAGCGATGTTCTTACGCTCGTAAGCTCTTTGGCTCTTCGCCTGAGCATCTGGATCTTCCTGCGATGGGTATGTGCCTGGAGAACGACCAATAGCTGAATGCATGTAGCTAATCAGTCTGCAGATACCCACGACTATCGTTCCTGCACTTGCAACTGCGCTCACGCTCGTCTACATCCCCTCTTTCTTTACCAGCTTCCAGGACACGGCGCAGTACAAGATTATATCCGATGAACTCGACATCATCGTGAAGGAGACTGTCGGAGGGCGCGGCGACGACTCCAGCGAAGAAATACAACTCATCGACGGTGCAGATGAAGGGCCGCTGAAGGAGCTTGACGTCGAGGAGACTATCCAATATGAAGAGAGGGAGCCCAAAGTGCTGCGCACACTACTCACTGGGCTTCCAAGCCCTTCGTCAGCCATGTGGAGCTGGATCACCTTTGGCATCAACATGGCCTTGATTGCCATGGCCCTGGATGTGGTCTATCGCGCCCCACTACTTCACCAATGCCATGATGCAAGTTTTGCGCGTGTCGGATACGTATCTGAGAACAGCGCAAAGATCTTGGTACGCGAGCCGTATGCCTTCGACGTAAAGGTCCTCTATCGCTCGATCGACGGCACCGAACGGTCGTGGATGCACAAGACGCACCGCGCCAGCCAACCCGAATACTGGCTAACCAACGAGACCGATTTCACAACTGTCATGAACATCGAGCACCTACGACCCGACCTGCCGTACGAGTACATCGTTGAGACTTCGCGTGGGAACATCACGGGCACCTTTACAACCGCCCCACGACCAGGCCGCATATCGATGCTGAAAGACAATAAATATACCTTCGTTCACTCGAGCTGCATCAAGCCTCGCGTCCCATACACACCGTTTCAGCATCCTCTTGAGTTCCCAGGCATGAAGCACCTTGCACGATGGCTGCCAGAACTTAAGCCATACTTTATGCTTTTCCTTGGCGACTTCATCTACGTGGACGTGCCACACCGCCAAGGCAGCGATGTTGAGACATACAGACGCGAGTATCGTCAGGTCTATTCATCGCCTTCATGGCCGGCAGTGAGCGAAAATCTGCCTTGGATTCATGTCATTGACGATCACGAGATCCACAATGATTGGAACAGCAACATGACGGGCGTAGCGGTTCCAGCGTACGATGCCTTCACACACTACAACGCAGCTCCCAACCCACCTCCTCACCGCGAAGGAGCCACCTACTTCTCATTCACCCAAGGTCCCGCCGAGTTCTTCCTTCTCGACACCCGCCGATACCGTACTCCTGCGAGCAAGGACGCTTCCGATCCCTCAAAGACTATGCTTGGAGCTCAGCAACTCTCCGACCTACTCGCTTGGATTCAAAAAGTGCCACCTCCAGGTGTTCACTGGAAGTTCATTGTGACTGGCACACCCTTTACAAAGAACTGGCAGTTTGGGTCTGAAGATACTTGGGGTGGACATCTGTACGAGCGTAGACGTATACTGGAGGCTGCATGGGACCTTTCTTCTACGCATGACATCGGCGTTGTAGTTCTTAGTGGTGACCGCCACGAGTTCGCGGCTACTTCATTCCCGCCACCCAAGGATGGCAAGTGGCCCACTAGCGCTACAGTACACGAATTTAGCACAAGTCCCTTGAGCATGTTTTACTTGCCCTTCCGCACATACAAGGAGACGGATGACGAGGACGTGTGTCTCAAATACCTTCCAGACGGCAACAGCAAGTTTGGTGCAGTGGAGATTACTACACCTGAACATGGTGAGCAGAGTTTTGTCAACTACCGGCTTTTCATCGATGGCAATGAGGCTTGGACACATTCCATCAGTACACCACCGGGAAGGAGTGGAAGTCATCGAGCGAAGGATGCTGTCTGGGGATAATGGAGTAGTGTATGGGGAGACAAGAGGAAGGTTTGTGGATTTAGCGTTAGGTAGACGTGCTTCATCAGGAGACAATCATAATTCATCTGTTTCTCAAAAATAGTGATCCTAGATCTGGGTATCATCCATTGCTGTCATAGATTCAATGCTATAGTATGTTTCAACCCCACTTTCTCTTTGCTTTCTCCTCGTCCTCTTTAGTCCACTCTCGCGGCAATACCGCAAAGACAAGGTACGAAGTATGCGTCTTGAGCTCCGGCTCCGTTCTATGCACCAACCTACCCTCCTTGAACAGCGTCCGGTTCTCCAACTCCTTCTTCGTCTGCGCAAGCCTATCATGCTTACTTGGCGGCACACCCTCCATTTTTTTCTTCTTGCCCTTGCCTGCCTCACCACCCTCGCCCACGGCCTCACCCCGTTTTCTTGCCTCAGCTTTGCGCATGACCTCTTCCTGCTTCTCACGCTGCATGCTGTGAAACACAGCTGCTCGACCTTCTACATCCCTCAGTCTTTGTACTGCTTCCTGAACATTCGCAGGATGTGCGTTGCCGCCACGGACGCCTTCTTCTTGGAGACCCACGCGCTCCCGACGTACGTCAAGGCGCTTCGCCTGGATCTCCACCATGTCTATCTCTACCCAGCCGAGCGTGCGGAGGGCAGAGACGGTCTTTGTGACTTGCTCGATGCAAGGGGAGAACGTGCAGATGCGGACAGCATTGCGCGGATTAAGGGGGCTACGGAAGGGTTTCGAGGATGCGGTGGTCGATTGCGCTTCGGCAGTAGGAAACGTAGGGTCGTCTGAGGGAGCTGGAGTGGACGGATCTGAAGCGACAGACTTCAGTGCTGCGGATGAAGGAGGTGAGCGCGTAAGATGTTTGAGAGCGTGCCATGGTGCTGGCAGATCAAGGAATATGCAGTCGGCATCTGGGCCTGCCGCATCGTCTAGGCCAAAGCCGCCGTTGTATACGTCGCGATGCGTTACAGTAACCAGCTGATCCAGACCATGATCCTTGATCTCAACCTTCAATTGGTCGGCGCGTGGTTCGTGGTATTCAAAGCTGTATACGCCGCCAGTCCTCGTCTTGCGCTTCCTCTTCTTAGAGATGCCTACTGCATTTTCCTCATCCCCGTTTGTCTCGGTCTCAGTCGCAATGTCTTGCGTCCCAGGGTAGCCATTATAGACTGCTCTTATCGCTGCGTGCGTAAAGCTTCCACTTCCTGCGCCAGCTTCAATGATATGGTCGCCCGGCCTTGCGCGCAGTCTTTGCAGGATGTAGCTGTAATCGGGCGTGTACACCACTTGGGTTCGGTGCGGTAGCGATATCGTCCAGGTCTCTGGCGTAGGCGGAATAAGATGCGCGAATCCACTACTTGCCGCCGCGGCCTTCACAATATCCCTCTTCTCGGCCTCCTGCTCAGCGACAGGCTTGCCTTCGCCTTCATCCTTAGCGTCCCTCTTGCGCTTTTTGTTTTTGCCGCGCGATCCAGTATCGACCTTTGACGCAAGAATTTGCGTACCCCATGGCTGACCGACAAGTGTGCTGTGAGGAAAAGAGCCAAATCGCGTGTTCTCGACTCTGCCTTCAGGGTAGTCTGAATCGGCTTCTGGTGTCAAGACTGCAGGAATGAGATGGTCGCGGCGCAATTGGATGACACCGAGGTTGTTTGCTGTCGCACAAGTTCCCGGATCAAGGAACGGGGAGGGTGTAATGGCCATGGGCGCGGTTGGGCAAATCGCGACAGAAAAAAGATGTGGAGATGATGCGATCGCGACTCGGAGCTCCAGAACAAAAAGATATTCAGCGGGGAGCTTTCGAGATTGCCATTGGAGGGGAGCGCCAAGGCTTTTACGACAGGGATTCTTATTGCTCATCGAGACACCACCAACAGAACGTGACTAGAACTTCACTTACTGACTCACCGTAAGCCGCATCTGAACTAACACCTGGCCTTACTACAAGCACTACTTCCTGTCACTCCTTACAGTTCCGTTTACCGCCACATTGATGGTACTTGCTTTCCGGTCCTTGTCCCGCACCATCAAATCGCCTTCCCCACTTCTACTTTCGAAAACCAACTGCAGCCAAATTTATCGAAGTCAGATATCGCCAAGGCTAGCAGCCAACATGGCAACACCGGCGCGCACCCAACCTCCATGGAAGCAACCCGAAGGCTCAAGTCCAGCCAAATTGAAAGTCTGGAATTCTTTGACCAGATCAAAGAATGACTTTGTACCCATTGATCCCGAGGGCAAGGAAGTGAAGTGGTATAGCTGCGGTCCTACAGTCTACGACGATGCGCACTTGGGGCACGCTCGAAACTACGTCACAAACGACATCCTACGGAGAATTCTGGCTCACTATTACGGCTACAAGCTGAAGTTCGTCCAGAACATCACAGACGTTGATGACAAAATCATTCTGCGCGGGCGCCAGCAATATCTCCTTGGAAAGTTCAAGGCCGACAATCCAACGGTGACGGAGGAAGTTAGCAACACTACCATCAAAGCCTTCGACGCATATGTTAAGAAAAACCTACCCTTACTCAATCCGGACGTTACTATT